AGAAGCAATTAGATGCAGTACCAAGCAGTCAAAATAAACCCAACACAACTGCCTTTAGGATGAGCTCTTGGATGAGCTGATGTACCTTGGCTGTCCCACAGTTTACCATTTATGCCAACTGTATCGGAATTGCGACGAGATGAGACGCAGAGGCACCAGAGGGAGCCTTGAAGAGTGCAGTGCACAAGTCAAGTAAGTCAATTGCAGTGTCCGAGCTTGACACTTTTGCCGCCTGGCAGTATGTCAGCAGGTCACCTTATGTCAGAACACATGAGCCAGCTGATTGGTGCTTCAGGTTTGACGTCTTTATGCAGCCAGAGCCTTTGTGCTGCTTTAGGCGCTCATTGCAATGACGCGATGCTGCTTGAATCTGCTCGACCATCTGATCTGGGGGCTTTTTAAAAATGGAATTAGTTGGGACATCCTGGAGCAGGACAGCTCGTCCTCGCATGCAGTGAAGTGGGGTCAAGCTGGTTCATTATTGGAGTGATGCCAGCAGGGCACCCTCACTTGAGTTCACGATCATAAGATTGATAGAGCTGCCTTTACATGCGGGTGGGCGCCGGGCCCCGCTTGGTAGTGAGGTCCACAGTATCTACAGTAGGGAACTCTCTGGTAAGGGCACAGTCCAAATATGCAGATACTCATTCTGACCAGAATCCATCTTGAATGTGTTATGTTTCTTGAAGCATTCAGTGAACCAAGCAATGATACCAGTATATGATTCCCCGGCTTCTGTGTTGATTTGAAATTTTTAGATACGGTGCTTTTCAGTGCCATTTGTAAATCAGCAGCTTGTCAGCTCCCTGCAATCCTTGCACACCTGTCGACTCAAGCTGTATGGTTGGATGCCATTTCCATGCCAATCTGATAAGACTTTTTTACACGATGAGCAAGGCCCAGAAGCAATCAATGCGCAACACACATCAGGATTGCATTGAAGCAGCACACATTGAGTCTTCTTATCATACACGTTGTGCACAGCAAACGTATGGTCAGATCAGCACCATATGGTCCGTGTGTGGTCCACGGTAATGTATCCGTCATGTATAAATCAGCAAATCCCCGATACACTGTGGTTTCATGTACCACAGTGTACGAGAATGATACCGGAATGTACATGAATGATACCAGAATGTACCATGGCAGGTTTTGTGATGCAGGATACGGTACTAGGTGCTACAGGCCCGCAAAATGCGCGACAGTCTTTTCGTCCATAGCCGCTTGTATTCGTCCAGACTCGACTCCAGAGTCCAGCATGCAAGCCACTGTCCGTGCCGCAAAAGCATCAAAGCATTCTCCTTTTATTAGTGTCTCCGCCCCGCCAAATAGGCGTAAAGCACACTCAAACACGTGAAGTCATCGGAGTCATGACTCTGACAGTGGTTACGGGCTGTGGTTAGGACAGTGACAGTGACGCTGACAAGTGACATTGACATTGACATTGACATTGACAGTGACCGGGGCTCTCACTGGGATATTAGGGTTATGTTGCAAACCTTGTGGCAATCGACTAGCGTTTTGTTAGGGTTACGTCATTTCCCAGTGACATTAGGGTTACTCAATGACAGTGACAACCGGGCAGAGTACTTTAGTGTATGTAGCCACTTCCTCTGACCCGGTCCCCATCTGTACCGGGAGCCGTACCGCGAACTGTACGGTAAATCTGACAACTCTGACGCAATCTTGATCAAAGGACCTGATCTGACAATTTGATCCACGCGGACACCTTGAGAGCCAATTATCCCGCGTGTAAAGAGTTCTCAGTGCTCACACTTTCTGAAGTCTGAGACACTATATTATTATATAATAAAAGGAGAATGCTTTGTCGTACTTGCGTCAGTGCCGCATCGCCGCCGCCGCCGCCGCCGCCGCCGTCTATAACTCAGTCGCTGCAGAGTGCACAGCGGAAATTACCTACCGGTGACCGTACTCTTCGGACCAGTATTGTACGGAGACTTCATGTGCCGTACGCGACGGGGGCGGATTCGCATTGCGGACGTGCCAGGGGCGGCCATATGGGCTCCCCAGCTGGACCGTATCGGAGGGCCGGTTGGCAATCCCCCGGCCGCCGGCAGCGCCCGGCATTCACCAGGCGCTACTCCTTCATTTCAAGTGTGCGCTGGGCGCCGGCCCCGAGGAAGCTGCAGCAACTTGGCAAGAAGTTGCAAGGGTCCGGGGCCCGGGCCCGACTCCCGCGGCTCGGGAACGCGCCCCGGCTGGCGCACACAGTCTGACAACTTTTCGACGGCGCCATTAGCGACATGTGGCGGCTCGGCCTTGTTCCGCGGGCCTGGGGGTTCCCTCCGGCATGTCGACATGCATCTTTGACATGCTCTTTCAAGCGTGCTGCGTGTCTTATGAGGAATCTCCCGGTTGATAGGTACCTTCTAGCTGTCTTGAAAGTGAGACTGGCGGTCTTTTGATGATGCTAGTGCCTGCACGAGGCCGAATATGCAGACGACCTGTACAGTGTAGACTGTCACCTGCTGGGTGTGTACATGTGTCGGAATCTGGGAGCACATTGCCAGCTCAAATAATAAGGTGCAAGCAAATTGCCAGCTCAGATAACAAGGTGCAACAGCGTCTGTTCTCTCCCTATAATGTGCTAGTCTTAGTCTCCCATGACCATCTTCTGACAAGGGCACCGCGTAAAGATGAAGGACGTGCAAGGGAACCGCATCCAACACCTCGTGCTCTTGCTGCTTGGCTTTCTGGTCCCTCAATATGGGGCTGCCTTCACTCTCAGCGATCTCCAACAGCTCACAACGGGCAGTCTCCTCACCCAAACCTCGATTGACCTTTGCTTTGAACAAGGTCCAACGACGTCACCATCTGTGCCCCTTAGTGGGGTGTTGCCTGCCGAGCTTGGCACTCTGACAAACCTCACCATTTTGCGCCTGTGCGGTTTCAACCTCTCCGGTGACATTCCCCCTGACATTGGGAAGCTGGTAAACCTCCAGGAACTGAAGCTGGAGGCTAACAATTTGACGGGGGGGATCCCTCCGGAGCTGGGCAATCTTACAAAGCTGGCGCTGCTAGATTTGGCACAAAACCGCTTGTCTGGTGCCATCCCAAAAGAGCTGGCAAGCTTAACACAACTACGGGTCCTGAATCTGCAGAACAACCGGCTCAATGGGAGTCTGCCTCCTGAGCTTGGGGGGTTAACGCGCCTCACCGAGTTAACCCTCCAATATAACCAACTCTCAGGGCCCATTCCGTCCGCACTGGGGAACATGGTTAGCTTAACCAACTTCTACGCTTGGAACAACACCCTCTCTGGGCCCATCCCTTCAGAGCTTGGCAACATTGCAGGGTTAACAAACCTGCTCCTTCATAACAACTCCTTAACCGGACCCCTCCCCTCTAGCCTCGGCAGGTTGAGCAACCTCCAAACCCTGGTCCTCGAGCGAAACAATCTTTCGGGGCCGTTGCCCGCAACATTCGGCGCTCTCAAGAGCCTCGTGCTTCTCAGTTTCAACCGTTGCTTCCTTACGGGGGGCATTCCTCCGGAGCTCGGTAATCTGACCCTATTGAGGGAGCTCTACCTGCTTCGCAACTCGCTCACGGGCCCGATCCCCCCTGAACTGGGCAAACTTCCAAGCGTAACTATCTTACGTTTGAACGACAACCTTCTCACGGGAGCGGTCCCTATAGAGCTTGCCAACCCCCCCCTGCTCATGGCACTTTCCATATACAACAACAATCTCACCGGAACCGTTGCCCCTGATCTCGTAACCCGTTTCAAACCCGAGAACATATTTGTAGGGAATCCGGGTCTCAGCATAGCATCCGCAAATCCACCCCCAGCAAACAGCCCACCAACCATTCCCCCCGCAAATTTCAGTCCCCCCCTGCCCCCGCCGTCGTCTCCCTCACCCCCAACAGGTATCATTGCCGGGATCGCTGCGGGCGCGGTCTGTGTTGCTCTCGTTGCTGCGTTGCTTTGGGGGCTCAAGTACTGCCGGGGCAAGCGGAAGGCAAAACCCGATCCCGGTGAAAAGTCTCAAATGTCATCAAGTGACCATTGGAGGGTCTCTCAAGGGCCCCCTGCCGAGAGGCAGTTCACACTTGTGGAGCTGAGTGCGGCGACGGGAGGCTGGGCCGCAAATGCTGTGGTGGGAACGGGCTCCTTTGGGGCGGTCTACCGGGCAGTGCTACCTGACGGGGGGGTGGTGGCAGTGAAACGACTCACGAAGGGGGCCGACGTGGAGGACCAATCTTGGCGCGCGGAGTTGTTGACGCTCAGCCAAGTGCGTCACAAGAACCTCGTGCGATTGTTCGGGGCGGTTGCGGAAGGAGGGGAACGGCTGCTCGTTTTCGAGTACTTTCCCGAAGGCAGTCTTGCGATGCGGCTGCAGGCCGCTCGGAAGGGGGAGGCCGCGCGGGCTTTCCCGTGGGGTTTGCGGATGGCAGTCGTTGCTGACGTGGCACGGGCTCTGGCCTACCTGCACCATGACGTCCACCCCCCGTTTGTGCACCGTGACATCAAGGCCGGGAACGTTCTGCTCCGGGAGGGGGGCGGCGGCGCGTGCATCGCAGATTTTGGGCTAGCGCGCTTGTTGCCGGATGCAACGGTGGGCTCTTCGTCTGCGATCAAGGGGACGCTGCGTTACATGGCGCCAGAGTATCTGCAAGGGGGAAGCCGGTACTTGAGCACAAAATGTGACGTGTACAGTTTCGGGGTGTTGCTTTTGGAGCTTCTCGCAGGGCGAACAGTGGCGGAGCGGTGGGCCGGGACGGACAAGCCGTTGGTCGAGTATACGGCGGGCTTGGTGCGCAACGGGAGGGGCCTGGAACTGTTGGACTGCGACGATTATGACGTGGACGAGGCGCAGTGCTGTATACGTATTGCGCTCGAGTGCTTGCAGAGGGATCCCTCTGCGCGGCCCACGATGGAGCGGGTCAGTTTGCAGATTAGGGCAGCAGTAAGAACTAGGACGAGCGAGGTCGAGAACGAGAGCGGTCTGGCCGACGGCTGGGAGGATCAAGGAATCAGGAGCGGCAGCTCGTACACTCAAACCTCAACTTCGTCAAACTCGTTGCACTACAAGTTTGTGGACGGCCGATAAAGAAGGCATTAGCCTACGCACTTTGATAATTAAGTTCTTACATTTTGTGGAACAATTGCTGCACTTCCATGCAGTTCGAGGTATCGGCGGACCCTAAATGTGCTGCAGGTCCGGGCATAAGCCTGGTTAAACAATCTCTGTGACTCCACTCAAGTGTAGTGAAAGATACATCGATCTGCGCTGTCGTCTGACCGACATGCCCCTTCAATGCATGCATTTACTCAACTTAGCCTGGCAGTGGGCCTACATCCTCACTATATGAGTAGCTCTGGCCGCCCTGTCACACTGAGATATGTTTTTCAGCAGATGGTCATATGATACGTATAATCCTTGCCAGTCGCCCGGCCGTTCGCGTCTGAGTAATTGCATGCAGCACATATAAGCAAGTTCCCAACCATTTCGAAGTAGAAGTAATCTTACATACCGTTGTATAGACTACATGTCATGATGCATGCGGATCCGGCTCAGCGGCTGCCGCCGCGACACTAACTTAACACATGCGCAGGGTTGACATGGGGTTATATAGCAAGAGTCGAATCAGGACATGCGGCCGCGCCTTATATATAGGCGCTAAGCCGCCACAAGGGCTGCAGCGCACCGATCCGGTCTGAGGCCGCGGCGCCGCGACCGCCGCAAGGGCTGCAGCGCACCGATTGCGGCGGCCCACACTGACAACGCTACGTCATTAGTCCGGCCAAACATGTATCAGCTTGTTTATTAAAGTATGCAGTGCGGTGGCCGGCCCGCAATCGTGGTCATTGATGCTCAATGGCACTGGCCCGGCTATACAAACTTGAAAGCGCCTCTAGCCGACAGCAGTGGGCTCGAGTGCGGGGCGAGATGCACATGATATGCATGGGGCATATATGGTCATCGAGACGGATGAGATCTCGAATTCTCATGGGTAGTATGAATCACAACCATATTCCAATAGTGTCGGACATAACCGCATAATGTGCCCCCTAGCTGAGCAAGATTCTAATATTTTCTCTCGAACTTGAAAGGACTTTGCATCAATTATCAATATTCAATGTTCGAGTCACAAGGACCTTTGATCATCAACATGAGCTCCTCCACAACCTCGTGCTTTTAATCACCTCAATACGCAGTGCTGCGCGATCTTGCACTCCTCTTTGACGCGAGCGGAGGAGTCCCAACACTCCTTGCTGACGGCTTCCCGCCATTTTCACTTTCTGTGGTCTGTGAGAGCCCACTCATTGACCTTCGCAAGCGATTGGCTTGTGGAGGGCTTTGCTCGTTTTGCAATCGTAACCACCGGGCGTAGAGCGTGTTGTTGAACCGTTGGGACTCGAAAAGGGGGCCCCACCTATGAGTAACAGGAACCGAGGGTTAACAATGGTTCTCAAAGTCAGGGGTCCAGTCATGGAAGACGAAGATCCAGAAACCCAGTGTCAGAGAGTGACGCTGGATCGGGCAAATCCTCGCTACAATGCTACTTCGCTCTCTCAAACGCTCTACTACATTTGCAAAAGTGGAGATCACTCAATCCTGTAACCCGCAGAACGATCAGCAACCGGGCGCGGGAGGGATTCAGGACGTAATACCATTGGCACCTGCGTCCTTATCAGGTCGTGCCCCCAAAGAGCACACATGAACTATTGACAATGAAAGCAGATCTACTCCGTTCACATCGAAGTTGCCCTCGTTTTCTCGAGAAACCAGAGGAGCCCCTTTTGGCAGTGGACTCAAGCTCTATATTGAATCTCAAACATCTTTTGAACTTCATAATACGAGCGCAATCTGGCCTAGCTGCATGAGAGGTGAAAGCCCCACCTCTCCGCGTCTGGACCTGGATACAGCCGCTCGAAGTCGCTCCTCCTTGCATTCTCGCTCTCCCCTTCCTGCACACAGTAACAGAGACTCCTCTTCAAAATGGCGCTCTTTTGAAAAAAGCAGGTGCGGCGTCATCACAGATCGGCCGCTTCCTCTGCAACTGAGACGCTGATTGAAGTGTTGGTATCAACGAACGAATCGAAAATTGCGACTGTTACCGAGTGCGTCGACGTTTCTCAAGTGATTTAGCGACGGCAGGTGCCCCCCGCAAAGGTTGCCGCTTCCATGCGATCAAACCTTGGATCTGAGGAAAACTGACTAACCAATGGCTTCAAGTTAAGAAATGCGCCTTTCAACGTTCATACCTGTATTAGCACTCGAGGCCGCCAAAAAACCTGCCGCTTCCAGTCGAAACAAACCGTTGATATGAACATTGATTCTCATTGGACGGCTCCAGTTTCGTACCTGGATCAGCAGTGGCGGCCGCCCGCTGGTGGCCGCCACAAAGCTGGCGTCATCAAGCGACTGCAGATCGCGCCGCAAAACGCGCGCGTCCTCCTCTCGCGCCCCCTTGCCGCGGCGCCCCTCCAGGCCCAACAACCGCATGCGCCGGCTTTCTTCCTCCTCTTTCGCGAGGGCGTCCCGGTCATACGGGGAGAAGCCCACCTGGAAAGAAAGTTAAAATTGCATTAAATGGCTGACGGAAGCGAGTCCCGAAGGCTGGAATGTCCCTTACATACGTTTGGTCACTCGGAAAGCGACTCCGCATTGGAAGGAACATTTCGTGTGGAAAGGAAACAAGTCCTTGACAGCCAAACGAAAAGAAAAGGAACGACTCTCCTCCTCTTTCGCGAGGGCGTCCCGGTCGTATGGGGAAGAGCCCACCTGGAAAACGACCCGGAATTCGGATCATTGGATATCTGAAAAACCAGGAAACAATCTGTACCACCTAGAGCAGATTCACACAGATTGACCTTAAGGTAAGGAGTCAGGCGAGAAAAAGCGTCTTTGCGGCATGCCTCAGGCCCCTCTAAAAGCCGGCAGCATAGATCCAGAAGGACAAGACCGAATAGATGTGTCTCCAGGAACCATCCATCTACTCTTCATATAAGCAGCCCATCGAGATGCTTTAAAGAAGGAGCAACTATAAGACGAAGCAGAAAACTTCTGATGGAACCCAGGGACCAGCACTCAACGGAGTTGGAGACATCCCAAGAATAGAAAAGAACATTATCGTGCACTGGAACTTGGTTCAGGTTGCGAAAAAGGTTCGATGGGAAGGTCCAAACGAAAACTTCAGGGCAATACGGTATGGTTGCACGCTCACCAAGTGTAGTGTGTCCCTTATGAGCTTGAACTTGATCTCCTTGTCGAGGGCGGTCGGGCAGTGCAGCGCAGGGCCGGTGTTAACCTGAAGTTTGAGACACCCGTTTAGCGAATGCATAAATTCCAAGGCAGAGAAGATGCCACAGGACGCACAGGGCTAAGGTGAGTTTGACACAGCCCAACCAACATAAGAAACCGCTGGCTAAGATGTATCAAGTACTCATCAAAGATAAAGTTTCCGTCGGCTCGTCTGGAAGCGCAACGGCTTGAGATCAGGATCTATATTCACGTTGCATCCGCGGAAGCTAAGAAAAGTGCAATTCTCGTTTGGTGCGCCCAAAGGAGACATGCTCACGCCGCGAGCTTGTAGAAATTGCGGATGCTTGAGATCCGGCCCAACGCCCGTCAAAGCCGCAAATCTAGAAGCAAATGTTACCGCTCCAACACGTCAACACCATCTACCTTCCAAAGGCTTTTACGTTATCAAAAACATAAACACGTAGAATGTTGGAGCGACGGCTTGAGAACCGCGTCCAACAGCACGTCGAACCCAGAAAGCTCAAGGCCGTTATTGCGGTGCGGTAAATGCGCTTGGCACAGGCTCACTCACCCTGGAATGCTCACGTTCTCTGGAATCTTTAGGACACCTCAGAAGAAGGTTCAAGTTGAGTTGTAAGAACACCAAAATGACAAGACAATCTCACCTCAAGGAGCCAGGGTTTGAGATCCGCGTCCAACAGCACGTCGAAGCCATAAAGCTCAAAGCCGTTGTTACGGTGCGGTAAATGCGCTTGGCACAGGCTCGCCACTCTCCCCTCCACAGCAATCAGCGTCTTCAATACGACGCCCCTGATCTCCTCCCAGATGTCGCTGAAGGAGAGGCCTTCCGACTCGAAGTAGGCCTCCAAAGCGCTCAGGCTCCACTGAAAAAAGAACGGGAAATGATGTCAGGAACGTTCTTCTGACGTCAGCAGACTTGTCTTTGCGATTACGCCCCTGAACTCCTCCCAGATGTTTGCCAAAGACGACGCCTTCCGACTCGAAGTAAGCCTCCAAAGCGCTCAGGCTCCACTGTAAGAGGTGCGTAATATGATGTCAGCAACGTTCAACTGACGTCAGCAATACAGTGAGTCAGCAAAAGGCTCCGGGCTTTCCCCCTTCTGTTGCCAAAGGAGACGCTTCCGCTTCGAAATGCGCCCCCGAAGCGCTCAAGTTCGTGTAGAGATAGTAGAGATTGACGTCAGCATCGGCCTTTTGACGTCAGCAGATTGGTATCTTTGCGGATACGCTCCTGTGTTCCCGAATGCCGGCGAAGGAAACGCCCTCTGAAACAAGGAAGGCCCCAAGGGACTCAGTGTCATCAATGCAGAGAGGGCAAGAAAGGGGACGTCAGCAACGTTATCCTCATGTCCTGAAAGCAGTATCTTCAGCACTACCGCAGAAGCCTCCTCCCAGAAGTTACCATGTGCCGGCACCAACTGCTGACGTGGGCAAGCGCCTTCTTGAACAAGCTGATAGCCAATCTCTACACCGTAATCGTGCATGTGAATGCTGACGCATCTGACGCCCAGACGGTCTTGTGATAACATGCGATGTCAGCAGCTCAAAAGTTTCAGACAGTATGTCTCGAACGGGCAGGCCGGCCTCAATATCGAAAGCAAAGATCGCGAAGCTTGAACCTCTATAGACAACCCAAGAAGTGTTTGTATTGAAGCCTATTTAGAACGTTCTCAGCCAATTCCGGATCTACCAACGTCGAGGGCGATTCTCGCATGGAGTTTGTGCCACATTCGGGCAGACTTTGCGAACAGTAGATTGTAAGCGCCCGCACCAACGACATACCCCATGATTGATGTGCCACGGATTTTAAGGAGAAGTGACCACAGGGCCAGCTTTCACCAAAGCGTAATCGGTTGGAGACAATGTCAAAATGAGCGCAGCACAAGAGTCCAGCATGCGTAGAAAAGAGGAAGGTGAGCTTACTTTGGCAGCTACGGTCGCCCCGTCCTCTGAGCTCACCCCCTTGTTGTTAATACTGTAAGCAGTTGCACAAAACCGATTCAGACGAGGCATAGAAATCCAAGAGGGATGGTCACACGCGGAACAACTTCCCCGTTGTAAGAAGGACCTCCTCAGAATCCAAGGGATTTAAGGGCTCAAGGATATCACGAGTTAAGAAGGACCCGAACTTTCGAGGCAATCATCTCGCCCGCTTCACCTCGTCTTCGACGCAGCCTTATGCCTGAAAATCGATTCCCTTGGCTTGTACACACAGATTACTTTGCTCCTTTACTTTACGACCCTAGTCTGTCGATTTTCTGATTGAGTCTCAAACGCATTGCCAAGAAAATCACGACAACGTTCTCAATTGCAAATAGATCAAACGGGTTGAGGTCGAATACTCCTCCTCAACCGGCCCTCACCGTAGCTTTGCCGCAAAGACCATTCAAACTGGCTAAAGCAAAGCGGAACTGGCAACAGAGTCAACAAGTCTCGTGCACAAAATCAGAATTATAGGCAGATTCGAGCAGATACTGTGCACATGTTGGTTCTGCGTACCTTGTGTTTGTGATGTGCGCGCATCGTTTCCGCAGGTTGGCTCGATCCAAACCGTACTGCACGAAGGCGGTTCGTAGATATAAACCTTGAGCGGATCCAAAATTGACGCAAACAGAATTCGTACACTAGCAAACCGGTTGAGGGGGCTTTCGACGAGCATGCTTCGAAAGTGATCTCATTTGCTTGATCTGTGTTCTGACAAAGATTGGCACCGCTTTTTTGAGCGTTTGCTGAAAAGGGTCCTGCTCCTCACGGTCATGATTCTCAAACAAGACCAGACTTCTGACGAATCTCTATTGAGAAACTCAGATCTATTTCCGGGCTCCTTCGGTTCGATTGAGGTTCAGAACCAGTTGACAGTTCGCTCCGGGGGCTGCTTTTTGAAGTAAGCACAGCTGCAAGGAGCAAAAGAGACCTCACCTTTTCCGAGGCGAATCGTACCAGGCCCTCTTTGTACACGTAAACACGCAGGGGGTCCCAACTCGTGACTACCACGTACAGCCGCAAGTCGTACCTGCACTCAGTCAGACAGAGTCTCAGGCGAAGAATCCCCGTCTCGTTTGCACCAGACTGAATAAGAGAGCGCAAAGCAATACTGGAAGGCTGAATAATACGTAGCAAACGTGCAAAGTGTTCCGCGAACGCATGAGTAAAATGAAAGCTCCAACCCAATCGAAGCATACAACGGTCAGAGCGAACCTACTGCAACAAAAGGTGTGCTTCCGTTTGGATGTGAGAGACAGGCATGCTAAGGGTGCTAAGCGGCTCTAAGTGAGCATCGAGCAAGAAAGAGACAGCGACCCCGCAAAACCTCACCAACCGGCCAATAGGAAGAAAGGGGTGAATAGGAAGACTTCTACCAACCGTCTCTAGTCTGTCCGGACTTCCACTCTTTCAAGCTCTTCCACTTAACCTGGACACTGTTGTGATTTTTATGTCAGACTTTCAGACTCTCATGTCAGACTTTGAAATTTTCATGTCAGACTCGAACACCGTCCCAGTTGTCAGACTCGAACACCGTCCCGACTTTCTAAGTTATCTCCAACCAAGGCTGACTCACTTGTAGCCGTTGATGAGGTGCGGGTTGCTGACGTATTTCTGCACCAGGCTCGGCCGCAGTTTCGTCAGCTCCGCTGGCTTCCGCAGCAACCGCACCCCGCGCCCCCGGCTCGAGCTACGCGGCTGATGACGACACGAAACGATGGGTGATGACGTCAGCATGCAGGGCGCCAGCTTAAAAGGCCGCATTCGCGCCTGCCTCCAAGGAGACAGTTACGGCGCGCTATCTGAGTGTATACAAAGCGCAATTCGCACATAGGGTTTCTGCGAATGCTTTGAGGATCGGACAGATCCTGTGCAAGTTTCCGTGATTGTCCTCATTTTGCCGTTCTTTGAGAACCAAGAAACGAGCGTTGGGGTGGTTCATGTGTAGGTAAAATCAACCCATGAAACATGAGCCTTAGACGGAAAAGGGTGAGATTCTATTAAGCTTGAACAGCCATCAAGCCCCGACAACCCCATCAAAGTGGTTGGCACCTCCACTTTGGTTTCGACTTTGAACTCTAGTAGAAGGAAATGGCTGAGTAGCTGAAAGCCTCGGAAACCAACCCACTCCAAAAGGTGCTTGCTAGGCTTTACCTTTAGGATGTAGAGTTGCTGCGGATCTCGCTTGCTGTCTTCCACCCACTCGGCTGCACGCACGAGGCAGCTGACGTTAGCAAGCGAAACTGGCACGAAAAACTCACAAAGCTCTAGTGTCTGACGTCAGGAGTGCTCAAAATGCTTCAGAACAATATCCTTACAGCAAGAGGGCATTAACCAGCTGCCGCCGTTGTAAGCTACGAACAAAAGGGTTCAAAGATAGTTGACGCGAACTGTGACTGAGGATTGGACTGGAGTCCCTCGTTTGCAACGTTCGGAGTCCAGGGCATGCTGGCGCTTATGCTTCTGACACATATGCTAGTCTTTCTGCGCCGCTAAAGTGCCACCCGTGTTGCTGTCGTCACGTGCAATTCACCGCTTCGAACTTACTTCGAAGCAGGGAATCATTAGATTGGTTTGGGGTTCAATATGACCCACCTAAAACCACCTAAACCCCAAAAAGTGGACCATCAAGAACCGACTTCCGGAGCAAGTATTCTCCTTCATTGGGACTGAGTTGGATTTTGCAGGCTTACCGTGGTCTTCCGGGAGCAGAAACACGGAGGGGAGGAAGTCGTACTGTTGTGGGTGGCGGCGCGCGGCAGCTACTAGGTGCTTGTACAAGTGGTCCTTGCGACCCAGCTCCCAAGTACCAGGGAAGTGGTTAACCTGAGCAGTCGAGGCTAGAATTCAACAGATCGCACCACCGCCACGTAACAGGGTGACTGTGACTCAATAGATGATAATTCTCAAAAGTAGATGCAATCTACAGGGCAGCATAAGTCCTTCAGAGAATGTCAAGATATTTCAAAAAATCAAAGGCATGCTAACGATGCATTGTAAACAATTTTCGAGGGTTCGATCCGAGCGGACCGCCGCAGTCCAAAATTCTACAACCTGTGGAGGCTCGTCGAACCCGTCAACAGACTTCTACAGAGCGTTCATCGAAGGAGCCACAACGTGGGGAGTCCCGGAACCCAGGCCGCTTGGGTCTGGGTTTCAAGATCTCCAATCAGCAATCTTGGAGCAATGTTTACGGGCATAGTGCAGCTCGTTGCGTCAGACCTGCCACCCGGAGTACGCAATCTTCGACTGAACGATCCGCACAATCAGCTGATCCAACGGTCTACAATGAGCTATTGAAGGTCGAAAACCCAGGGGGAGAGTGGAAACTCCGAAGCGAACAGCTGCAACATGCGGCTGGAGCGTACCTTTTGATTCTTGTTGAGGCCCTTAAAGTCGTCGACCTTGAGCGCCTTGCCGCTCCAGAGCATGTCCCACTTGTTCGCCTCCGCTGCAGACCAGCGCCGAAGCGTCACAAAGGCTCGCTCTTCCTAGTTTCTGAAGAAGCACTCCAGGCAGCGGTGATTCGGAACCTTTCGTTGAGCGCCACTGAAGTATCGCCGTTGCTACTTTCTTACGGAGCATTTCGAGCAGCGATGCTTGGAACCTTTTATCTTTCTCGGGCGCTACAAAACCTCGCTCAAGTCAGTTTCTCAAGAAGCGTCTCGAACGGCGGCGAGTCAGGAGCCTTCGAAGTTCCTAAGATTGGGTCCCCTTTCCTGCCCAGCTACGAGAGCAGACATTACTCGAAAGCAGTCTCGGGCTGCTGACCCCTGATCAAATGAACCAGCCCGTGCGCACTCGGATTATGAAGGACCTTTGCCTGACGTCCACAGCTGAGCTGTGATTCTATGTGGCCTTGTCTGACAAAGTTGAGCCCAATTTCGCAAAAGTAAAAGCGTTTCAAAGGGACTTTGACTCGCAGAGGGAAGATCGATTGCGGGAACAGACGGCCAGGAAGAATTTAGTCAACGGCATCAACTTTCTCAGGAGGTGATATGAGGGAAATTGCAAACCTGTGACACGTCGGAAGCCAGCGTCTTTGAAGGCGGCCTTGACCGAGTTGTTTCCAGCCGGGACAATCTGCATGCGGAGATGGTCCATGATCAATCATGTGGGATGTGGGAACGATGTCTGTTCTGAGTTTTCCCCCCAGCCCACTTCTGCATCTTTAAGGAATTTCAGAGACAAGCCTGCGTCAAAAAAGGCCGGTTGCAAGTGGAACATAGGCTGAAGAACCAGGGCTTCGTTGCATAAGTCAGAGCTGCAAAGATTACCTTCTCAAACCATCCTTTTCTGCTCGTTGCGACGGATACATTTCAATCCTTGTGAATACCTCAGACCTCATTTCTTCACGTGTGCCAACTTGGAGGACAAACCCCGCCCAAAATGTCTGTGCCGCTCACTACAACCGGATCTTACTCTGTGACTAGCCTTCGGATCATCAACGACGTTTGGTGTCAACGTGCGACTCACCTTGACAAGAGGGGCCGGCCTGACACTCCAGAGCAGCTGGTCGCCGCCGTCCAGGTTGAAGGCCATAGTGGGAGCGCACCCTGTGTTCGACGAAGGCACCAGCCACACCCCAGGGGGGCCGCTAGGCTCTGCAAGACAGCTTGACCATTAGCAAAGTGTAGAAGCAAGCTGACAGGTAACTGCGCCGCAACTTCGGCACTCTTTTCGGTTGCTTTCAACCACGTGCTTTTCGTGTCCTCAGCGGCACGAAAGCCTGGTCAGGCAGCTCAGGGATATGAGAGAACGATGAACGATGCATGAAGATGAAAAGCACGACCCCACCATTTTCTTCCGGAGCATGGCAGCTCAGCTCTTTCAGATCTTCTTCTACTTAGAAGCCAGGGCCAGCAAGCAGCTTGAAGAAGCGAGAAGTTCGACAAAACAACAGAGTCTATCACTCACTTTGCAGAGCCCCGATTGACGCGCTACCTCGGCTACCCCCTCGCAACCGCCCAAGCGGCATGAAGTCCCGGAACGGCAGGTCAGCGCACCCGGTACTCGGGTCCAGGATCGGCATCCCCCGCCCGCTGAAACTTGCCAGCTCAGCGCTCCGGTCCGCCAGGTCGCTCTCGCTGCTGCTGCTGCTGGCGTCATCGCCGCTGACGTCGTCGCTAATGTCGTCGATGTCAGCGCTGGCAGCGTCGTATGAAGTTTCCCCTCGTTCGATAGCAGAAAGGTCATCTCCCCCTCGTCTGCTGGAATCTGAAAGCAGCCCCCGACTGACATCTGGCCTCCGAGACTCTGAAGTAGACCAAGGCCCAATCTCATCTGATGACACAACTTTATCTAAAACCCCCGCTAATGCTCCCTTTACAGTCTGGCCGTTTACGCTTGCTTTTGTCTTGGTCACCCCCCATCCCACCGTGGCTTTCTCTGAGTTAGTTCTCTGTCCAGCCACCCCCCGTTGACGCTCCTCGCCGCTCGTCTGCGGGTCTGAAACTGCAGAACGCCGCTTAGCAATCACTGGACGAACTGCTGATGTCAGTGCAGCTGATGTCAGCACAGCGGCTGATGTCAGCTCCTCAAGCTGGTCCGGGGGACGCGCAGCATTGGGCACGGCAAGGTCCCCGGCAATCGCTGCAAGAACCGCCTTTCCCGTTGCAACATCTTCCTTCCGGGGGGGGTCCAAAGTAGCCCCAAGCACGCCCCCCTGCAGTGACGCCTCCCCCGCAAGGTCAGCCTTTGAGGGTACGGCCCGCAATTGGGAATGGTGCTTTCTAAGACCAGTATCAGACGCCCTTCGACTTTGATCCCGACCTGCGGACAATCTACGCAATGCAGTGGATGCCGCAGCGCTTGGTATCAAGCGATCTGGACAGGGGCCCCCCCAGACACTCCCATCCGTCAATCCCGCCAAGAGATGCGCGAGCTTTGGCCCGCTCAGGGGTGGTGTTTCCAATGCCGTTCCCACTGCAGAAAGGCCGACGCCAGCAAACCCACGGTTCTCAAGATCAAATGACTTGAGACTCAAAGACTTGCACGAAGAGAGGCGCCGCGAACTGGCTGGCCGGCCGCTCTGGCTGCGCCGCACGTTGGCCGGGATTGCTTGCAGCCAGGAGGGATCCATGGAGGCACACGACAAGTTCATCTCAACCTGCTTCAGGGTTACCGCAATGCAGAAGCTTCCATTCCCGTCTCTGAAGTGGTTCAGGGGATAGCCAAGGCGCCTGGCATTGCCCTGAAAACCTTCTGGCGGAACAATCCCTTTCCTCCGCCCTAATACAAGCAACCCTGCATGCTGCGCATCTATTTGTGCCTATCATCTATGCAGGCAGGTATACTAATACCGGTAGTAGCAGGAGGCCAAATTAGGGTTTGCTTTTTGCATGGGCGCGGTTGTCCGCGTTCTTCTGATTCCGGTATTCCGCAGCGGAGCATTCCGCGAGAAACTTCGCATCACACGGAAACAGCCTGTAGCTCTGCTGATGTCAGTGAAAATAGGTAGGCAGGCCCAGGGCCAGTGCAAGAAATCTTCGGAGCCTGCTGCGATACACTCAGAGGGCGCAGACGCCCAGCCAAAATATGTAGCGTCCAGTAGCGAGCAGGCCGTATGGGCTCCACCGCGGGCGCGTCCACCAAAATTTGCAGACATCTTATATGGCCTATTGGCTCCCATTTGCACCCATTTTCGGGTCAGCGCACCCGGTGGAGCCCTCAGTGTTAAGGACGAAGTGGCCCTATGTCTGACTTTCCCAGCTAAATTGCATATTTTGGGCATTCGATTGGGACCGGTCAAATGACACCTAACGATGGCGGAAACTTGTAGAGAACGTTTTGGGACCTACCCAAGTCGTTTGGACCTTGTGGGCACTTTGGATATGAACATTTCGCGCGCTTACAATTCTGCTCGCGCCGACTTTTTGGCTGGCGTCTGCGCCCTCTGGATACACTTCAATTTTGCATGCTCAAGAAAGCAATGTTGTAGAAAATCTGCAAGGAATTTGCAATGAATGCGCTGAGGGAGCCTATTTAGACCAGGAGAAGAAGACAACGTCAAGTGCATCCATTTCGAGGCATAGCTCTGACACGTAGGGCAGCCACACCATGTTCTCGACAGGCAAGAAACCCAAGACACCAGGTCGGGGCACCCCTGGGACTCGCGGAGCCCGATCAAGCAGCAGACTGAGAGATGCTGAGTTAGCTCTCCCGGAGAATCTGCACAATGGCCTGCAGACACAGTGAGTGAATGTCACGAACATTACAATACATCCACATTTGGCATAGTTTGCCTTGACAGTGGGTTGATTAGCGCATGGATCATGTTGGCATGGCTGATTGTCAGACGCTTCTTAGTCTCTACTTTGTGTAATAGTTTGTAGATGTCTTCATGGATAATGTGCTTCTCATTGATTCTCTATTTTCTTCTTTTTGTTCTGTACCACCATCGGAGCAAAAGCTTCTTAGTGCCAGCAAGACAGCGGCATTCTAGAAACTAGAGGCAACACTGGTCTTGGCTGCGGACAGTGTTTTCGATCTTCTGGTCAACTCAACAGGATCAGTATGCCCGCATGAGGCCCACCTTTACTCTAATGTGTGACTTTGAAAGTTTATGCTGCCTCTCAAGTACGGTTTAGAAGTTGCACCACCTTTGATCGACCTTCTCGCACGTTTTTTTCTTTTGGAGACGCTGAAGAGCTTCTCTTTTCAAGAGAAGGACTGTTGTTTTTCAATCAGCTTGTTTGTCAGAAGAATGAAACAAAAGCAGCTGCCACATTCAATGATGGGGCAGGTTTGTTGGTGGTTCTGGAGGAGTTCACTATCAAAGAAGGGCCATCGTTTTGGCGAATTCTTACAAGATTTTGTGTGCCCTTGACAACGCCGCTTGCAGGCGGCACCCGCAAAAAGCGACCATGCCAATGTCCACACTTGAGATTTTGCGCGATCCCTGGAGGCAGGGCTTGGAAACAACTTCCCTCCTGCTTTGGCACTTCGAGATTCAAAGGTGAAGGACATGGGAAAGATGTCAAAATTGTCAAGATTGAGTTCAAGTCTATTTTCAACCGAGCAGGGCACCACCAAGTACTGTGCGCCAGGAGACTCCCCTCCAACATCCTCCTGGACACCCTTACGAGAACAGGAGTCACCCTGCCACAGATGTCAGCTTAAAAGAAAAGTCCGCAGGTAAGGATTGAACACTCGGTCTAAAATTGTGGAGATCTTGACTGATGTCTCTAGCTGACAATCTTCAGCACCTCTGATTTGTCGATTGTTCGCCGGAGAATCAGTCACCAAATGAGTGTGCAAGTCTGATATATTTGAGCTTGGATTGTTCAATGCCGTTGGTTATATGGCCTTGGGCTGTGGTGTGTGGAAGATGCACAAACCCTTGACATCAGTTGGGCCATACACGGGAATCTCATGAAAATCGTAATTCCTCATCCAGGAAAACCTGATCGGCCTCGAAGGCAGACACCACGAAATATAGAGTAGGGGTCGACTATCAACAGGTCCGCCGTCCAGAGCAGCATCTTTTGGCCAGTCTCTGAGCATGACAAGCCACAGTAAAGATGATAAATTTAAGGCTGGCTTCTTGAACAGGCTTGGCACCGCTCCTTAACCTTGCGGTTTCAATGCAAGCTGCGTTGAATGATGAGTGTCCTCGTCAGGCTCAATGCTCACCAGTAAGCTTATCCAGAAACCGTATGCTGGCAGGATCCTCTAGTGGAAGCCTGTCTCTCATGTCGATTATATTGTTGCAAGTCTTCACTTGGGCCTGAAGACGTTGAGTACCTTCTGAGAGGGTCAGATCCACCAATCACTGTTCGCATTGCCGCTTTGAACCGCTTAGAGCCCAAGATCGACTTTTCAAGCTCCGAAGTCCTAGCCCGAGCTTCACTGACCAGCTAACAAAGCAAAAGTTGTCCCTACTGACTACTTTTTCCCGATATTTTACCTCCTCCGTTCCGCATTTTGCAGCAGCACAACCCAACGCTTTGCTCTGGCCCCCCGATCAAGGACATGCGATGCTTTCAGAACGCGCCGCGCCGCCCCGGAAGGAAGACAAAGCGGAGGAAGTGCGCATCGACATTGTCGGCGACCCAGCCAAGTCGGACGAAAACATGGCGGAAGAGCGCCCTTTTTCCAGTGGAAGGGAGGAAGCTCAGGAGCAGCCGGCGGAGGGGGACGAGGGACCCGACAGCAAAGCTCAGGTCAAGGTAAGGCTGAAATCTGGTTTTTGTTGTCAAAAGCCTCTGTAAACAGAGGTTTCCATGCAAAGGGTGGCATGGAGAGACAAGGCTGGGTACTGAACGGCATTCCAAGCTGGGTCAGCTCGCTCTGTGCCACGCTGGTTCCGGTGGGTCAAGAAAGCTACCATCAACATTGTGGGACAAACTCCTAATTAACGTCGATGACGATTTCGATTACCTTCCGTTCATAGCTCTCTGCATGCGGCTTGTGTTTCGAAAACTTGCATAGTGCGAGGCCTTCCGTATCAGATTCGGGTAGAGTCCTTCAAAGCAGGGCTTTGCGAGTATTCTCTCTTCGACGTGGACACATTCCAACAGCTTCTATTGTCTGTCTCGCAATAGTTTCGAAGCTCGAACCCGATTACTCCCTGACTTGCGCCATAGACAAGTTATCCATTGTAAGAACGCGCTCCCTGGATTCCGTGTCTAGGAGGTCGACCATTCGTCAGTCACACCAAGCTTTTCACAATCTTTTTTTCCGTGCTTTACTAAAGGTTTTGAAGCACTACATCGACTTCACATTGACTGGCGTGCTGGACGGCGTGGTCGACGGCCTTCGCCACGCTGGCGCGTTCGACGAGAGCGGGAGACGGAACGGCTTCGCACGGGCGAGCAGGTAAGGACTTGTTCTCGATTTTCGATTCACAGTTCTCAGTTTTTCCGGCGCATCATTCTCGTACCGTTGATGGGGGGGTTGGGACGGTCTTCCTTCAGTCTTATGCACGCACACTTCGTCCTTAAGCGTCTAACGAGGTTTTCCGACTCTTGTCCTCGTTCGCTTGCGTACGGTTGTGCTTTTCGAGACCCGCAATCCGGCCTCAGCTTCACAACTTGTGCTCTGCGCTTTGTGCGTGTCGAAGTTAAGCAGAGGAAGTCTTCGCAAGTCCTTTGACGGCCCTTCACCACTTTCAGGGGGCGTCGTGTGATTTTCATCGCCTCGGCGATCAGATAGCCCGCATACCCGCAGTTCGGGTTGCTCAATCCGGTACTACGTGACGGAATTCTTGGCGACACAAGGACAGAATATTATGCGGAAGTGGTTGCCGTGGGACCACGTGGTTAGACGCCCTCTTTGAGGCAGTGACGAGCAATCCTGGGATGCTCCGGCAGCCCAAGTCCTCCTCCACCCGACTCCGATGCCCCTGTGCTAAACTTATGAAGATATCCAAAGTCCTCTTCCTTGCCGCAGAACGAGCTTGTGACTAACTTCAATGCCTGCATGTTGCAGATTGCCTTCTGTACAGATCCCTTTCTCTGTCGTGTTTGTCTGTCCTTCCGTCTGCTGTTTGCTCTCGTCACGGTTGTTCGTCCGTTGCATTCTCTTTCGTTTGACCTAGCAGTCCGTCCGGTTTTTGACAACATGCTTGAGCCCCTTCTCGGTGCCCCTCCTTCGACCATCGTTTCTTTCACTTTAGCCCATTCTTCCCTGCTTTTCTGACGCGCTTCATAGACCAGATGCCACACATCAAGAGGTAACTCCCGTAACAAGGGCGTGTTGAAACTGCGACGAGTTGCTATTTCTTGTCGTGTCGGGTTGGTAAGAGCCCAAAGCCTACTGAGTTTTGGCCGTTGCACAAATCGCCGCATTTGCGCTTCCAATCATTATTTCCGTACCTAGTCGCTGTGAGACCTTTGAGCAATTTCCATTGCATTCTCTGATTTCTCAGCTCAGGAAACCGAACTCCTATACTTCGAACTGTTCAATTGCCAAAACAGTTGCCTTTTCATGTCGGAGGAACGATGTCTTCGTAAATGCTTCTTACATGACATTATTGACAGATTCACAAATTCGCCCACAATCTGACATCCGCAGGTCGTTCGTTGACGCACTCGGGAAGAGCTGGACGAACGAGAGTGCCAATGCGAGCCTGGTTATACGGGGCTATCTGGCTGATAAGCAGCGGCGCCACGCGCGCTTTCTGGAGTTTGTCTCCAGACTGGGGGTGGTAGATGAGCTGCGAAGCACCAGCGGTGAGAATACCCCTTTTTTTTGGAGCTCACTGAGAAGCTCCTACCGTTACACTTGGGAGTTCGTATACATATCAAACTTGGAAGTTCATTTTCAGAGTGAGAAATGAGCTGCAGAACACCAGCGATGAGAATAGCCCTTTTCTTTGAGGCTTACTAAAGCTCTTACTGTTACTCTTGGGAGTTTGTATTCACACTAGGGGTGGCAGATGAGCCTCAGAACATCAGCAGTGAGAATGCCCCCTTTCTTCGGAGCTTGTTGAAGTTGTTACCGTTACTCTTGGGAGTTTGTGTTCAATCTGGGGGTGCTTGTTTTTAACAGCTTACCGACCTCTGCGCGAGCACCAACATGTGAAAGGGCTCATCAGCACAAGTCGAGAGTCCTGAAACAAACAAAACCCCTCTTGCCAGCTCTCACGGCGATCCTCGAGCATTCGGAAAAGATCGCCTCCGCCGTGGCCCTGCGCGAGTTCCAAAACGCTGCGTCCGACTTCGCTCAGCAGTCCGCACCCGGCCCATTCACACCATCCGAAACGGACCCCGGACAGGCCACGCTGACGGTCGTAAGGGCGGCGGGGGAGCGCGGCTTGAGGCGACACGTGGCGCTCAGCGGAAGGGACAGCGTGGAGGTGTTCTACACTAGGGTCTCGAGCCTGGAAGAGTAAGGGCTTTTCGCTTAGCTCTACTGGCTTAGTATCTTGTCACGTAGGTTCTCATCATCATCCAAGGTACTTCGAAAAGTGCCGAACCTTCCGTATATTGAGGCTATCCGGCTGCATATCCAACGCGCTCGACATTTTGCTCCACTAGCGTATGGTACCTGGCCATACCTGGTCAAGAAGGACGAAAAGCACGGCGATATTCTCGGCGGTTGCGGGTACAACCCGCACTCCTGCAGTACTCCTGCCCGTTTGCTTAAACGTTGTCAAGTTCTCGTATCTGTTCACCGCTTCTATAGAGTGGCTCCCCACGTTGTCGGTCTCTGTGCACGTTTGTATCCATTTGCAGATTCATACTTTCTGGTAGATGTGCACTGTGCTTTGGCACAGTGGTGGCACTTTTTTCAGCATAAAAGCATGCTTTGTCACCACGTCAAGGGCCATGATGGGGCTGCTTTTTTATTTTGATTGACGAAATTCGTCATACTACGCCGAGCTGTAAGCCCCCGCCCCAAAACGTCTTCAGGCTACAGTCCTTCTGACCGGGCAGTAAAGAACCGGTTGACGCCGCCAAGCCTGTTCGCATGAAACGCACAAGGCTACTTTGCTTTCTTTGAGACTCCCCTGAGCCTGCGCAGCTGAAATTGTCGTGAACGGAGCCTCAGAACTTCACGATGTACTTTTTGATGCCTTTTGTGCGTGAGCATTGCCCTGGCGGATCAGCTCCATACTTTGCTGCTCAACACTAAACGAAGAACCTTACAAAATCGCTTGTGAGCAGCTGCCCCTGTTGGCGTTTGGCGGTCAGTAAGGTTTGCAGCGTGTGACTCCGTCTGCTTGGCAGTAAAGCGGGTCTAATGACGGATGCGTTCCTTTTTGCAAGTTCCATCCTTGTCGCCTTGACCGGCAAGGCAAATTTCCGGTCCCCAATGTGGTTCTCGTTGCGGCCTACTTCTGTGGCAAGGACGGCCCTGTTAAACGTTGGTATTTGGTGCAATCACCGAAGCAGTCGCCAATTACAGCGTCACCAGATAATCTCAGACTCGACTATTATGAAAGCGAGCAACAGGTGCTTGGTGGGCTCCGGTTGGCCATCTTGATTCAAAGGCATGACCTTTGGAAGCATGAGTTGGTTCCAACCTTCTGGATAGCAGCAAACTTTGATTCACAAGCAATGTAGGCGATTGCGCTCGACTTCGAGTGGAGTGTTGTCCAGTGCTCTGGAGTGCACCGGCTTTTGGCGCTCACTGATCAATTTTTGAAGGGACAGTCAGATGACGTAAATGGTGGCTGCAAGTCCGATCCTCAAAATTTTGGTAGTGATAGACCTGAGGGTTTGATAACAGTATTGGGTCACTGTGAGCGCCACGGAAGCCTGGTCCTCTCAACACTGTTACTTAAACTTCCGACTCAATCCGTGGCTTGAGTAGATTACTGATAAAGGGTGCGGCGTGAAGGTGGCTCGTCTTGGTATCCTCAAAAATTTGCACGAACTTGAAACAGGACCTACGTGTTACTGTGTCGCGATAATTATGACTTGACGTCCTCCAAACTGGGGGTCGGGCTGTGAGGGATGTGCCTCTGACGTCAATTTCGTCAGATGGGATCACGTTGTCTTGAGCCTCCGGTCTAGAAGTGTATTCCGAATCCCAAATTGATCTATAAATCACGTATGATTGCGACAACGAGGTCAAGTGCCCCTCGCAGAGGAGGAAAGAAAGCTCAAAGCGCTCTTCTTCTGGTTCACCATATCCAGAAGGTTGCTTCTGTCTCGGATGCCTGATTAAACGTCGAAGGCCGCGTTTACTGATTATTGTGCAATGCTAGCACTGATGCACAACCTTAGCCCAGTTTTTAGCGCGGCACCTGAGAATGTATTAAACGCCTGCTCGATTCAAGGTTTGCTATTGGTCTTGTTGGCGATGGTCGATCATGATGGGCCTGATTGTTGGCAGGTTGTCAGTGGCAAATTCTTGGGCCTGAACCATGAGTTTGAGAAATTGCGTGGTGTGCAAAGTTTTCTTGCATTTCTTGGATGAAGACTCCCGCCCGTATCTGGTACATGGTTCATAGCGTCCTTTCCTGCCTCACAACGTGGCCTCTTGCCCGGTCAGGAGCGACTGTTTCTTTTGTCCTGGCATACTGCTGCAGTTTGGGAGGCTACCGCTTGTAATTGCAAATGAAAGCTGGCCTCGTTGTGTGAAATCAGGACCGTGCGCGCAAAGTTGGGTGTCTTTGAGCCAGACGCCTTAATCTGGGTTTTGTCCTGATTGCCAAGCTCTTTGGTCAGCTTCGGTTGCCGCCTTCTGCCAGAGGAACTTCTTCGAAGCACTTAGACTGGCCACGGTTTTTGTATGAGCGCGCTTCTTAAGCTTGTCACCTTGTTCTGTAACCTTCGTAGATTTGTGCTTTTACGGGATTTGGGGGTGCTACTTCTACATTCTCCACCTTGTCGTCTGCGGCCACGTCCACGCAACTGCGTCTTCTACTCGAAAGTACATCATCCGCCTATCCCACCGCTGGCTGGTGTATAATCTGTTCGGTCCACCTCAAATTTCACAAGAGGCGGTGGAGAGTTGTTGAAGCTGACATAAGTCATACGTTAGTATAGACCGTTGGCGTACCTGAGCCCGCACCGGGTTCGCATCTCTTGCTGTGGACCTATTGCTTGTAGTAGCTTCTGGTAAAGGAGGTTTGACGTCGTGGTTCGCTTATCTCAGCATAAGGGGGCAGCGCTTGATCAGAGGAGCAAAATTTCAGGTCGCGGTTCCAAGTCCGGCACAACCTCTTTAGCAGGTACCAGGGCTGTGACGAGCCTGTTTTTGACGTCATGCACGTCACAGAGCGAGGAGTTTATTGAGGCCCTTTGAAATGCATCGTACTCAGATCTTGGAGTTGTCTGCTCCCATTGTCCCTCTTGCACCGCCTGCTGATGTTGTCAAGAACCCAAAAAAGAAATTGAGTGTTGGAGCTTGACGAGGAAAGGATGTTCGTCGAAGCTTTGGTTTCTCGCCAGATGCATTCGGGCTTTGCGCTGAGCCCCATACGGATCCGATGTTGTGCTTCTATGTTCCTGAGCAAGAGTCAAGAATCTCCTATGAGAGGCTTGCACAGTTGCGCGCCTACCTGATCTGCTGTAATCTGCAAACCCAATGACTGCAATGACGACGTTGCTTTCGCTTGTGTGGTGGCCTTGGTACTTCGCAGCTTGCACAATCGCGCGTTCCCGGGTGAATCATGGAAAGTGGTCGTGAGAGCTGCCCTGAAAGTACGACAACGTCCGACTTGCCGCCTTTTCGGCAACAGTCTTCTTGTGCTTCTGACGCTATTTGGCCTCAAAGGGGTTCCTGCAGCGCTGGTAGTGCAAGTCATGCTCAAAAGCAGCATCGCAGGTTGAACTAGGGCTCATTTGACGCTTTTCGATGGTCGCCACTACCACTCACTACTTCTTATTAGTAACGTTCGAATACTGGTGCTTCTGCTTGTTATGCTGAGTCATGATGGCGCGAACCACTCGACGACCGTGTCGAGTTGTGTAGGATCGCTCCTGAACTACGTTCTGGAAAGCGTTTGGTCTGCTTACGTACTAAAAGTCACTGTCGAGTTACAGCTATGCTGGGCGACTACTGTTCGAAAAAATTACTCGTACTGATTGCTGCTTGATTGGAACCGCTGCCAACTGCAACACATTAAGCGTTTTGGTGCAGGCGTCTCTTCCTGATCTGCCTCTCTTACTGACATTTAAGCCAGCGAGACTTCAAGGACTCACAAGAGTGGTTGTCGGTCTCAGAACATGGACTGAAGATTACGTGTCATGGTTCGGATGTGGCCACGATAAGACTGGTTGGCTAGGATCCGACAAGACCGGGATGCAATTTTGCTTTTGTAATGGGTTGGTTACTCTACGATGTAGCTCTGTTGAACAGGGCAGTAGCTCGTATCAATGTGTGCTGGCCGTGAATGTAAACTATGACAATGTTGCCAGTAGTGCCTTGATGATTTGAGCCGTTTGAGCCAGCCAGCCAGCCAGCCAGCCACAGTCTCATCGAATTGAAAAGTTCTTGCTGTCATGCGTAGGTGGACGGAAAGCTTCTCAGCCGTGTCAGACGCCTCATTCATGAGCTCGAGCCAGTCAACAGCGTCGTTTCACAAAGAAGCTGATCTCTCGAGAATTCCAAAATCTTTCTTTCATCTTGAGTTTATTTGTCTGACGTTCCGGGCACATTTCCGGGGTGCGCCGCTGCCGACGCCGTACCTCTTTTCGGTACCCCTTGTCCACTTGCAATGGTTTTGTGAAGTGCTGTTGTCTCGTTCTGCTAGGGTGGCGCCGTTTGAGCACGTATGTCGTGCCTTTTGTGATATTTGACATTCCAACGAGAGACTCGCTTGCAAAGTCACGTGCTTAGAGAATCATCAAGTTGTCTGTTCTTTTTCAGTCTTCTCTTATTATCCCTCGTTTCTTCAGAAGCAACTAAATGGCTTGTCGTCTAGTGGCGGAGCCTTCGCATCTGCAAGCAGGAAGAATGCGTGCAGTTCACCGACGTCTTTAGGGAGAAGGCAAGCATGAGGCGCTCGATTGGCATTGATGGTCTACTGGCAGCTTTTTCGCCACATCAGGCGCAGGTCTACGATTGAGCCAGGTGTCTTGTGTTCGAGCATCTTCATGTGCACGGACCTGCTTCCGCGAACGATTAAGCGTAATTCTCTTCACGAGATGTTCTATTCAACAAACAATCTGGTTTGAGGGCCACTCGATGTATGTCGACTTGGATCTAAGGTGTGCCGTCGCAAGCTTGGATCACAGTTCGGGGCACTGTAAGAAGGTTCTTTTGTGCGTAACTGTCAGCGTCTGGCACTGTAACACTTGCCCTTTCCAGTTCCTGAGGGCCGAGGGACAAAGGATCAGGTACAAGTTGCTTTGGTTTCAGATTGCCCTCTGCTGCTTCCTTCTCAATGCACGTTGCACTCACGTGGATTTGAGATGGTCAATGGTAATGATGGGCTCGCGAAATTTGACATTGTCGTCATTTTTCAACGCGTGGCTACAGAACCACTTTTTGCGTCAAGGCTGACCTACTTTTTTCCAATCATTTAGAACTCCGACCTCATCAAGAAAGCCGCCGTTATGTTTAGCTTCGCCTGTTTCTTCTGTCGGAGAGTCGGTTTGGAGCGCTAAGACGTCGTCGTTTTGGATGTGTGTGCTCCTTGAGCCAGCCCTTTAAATGTCAAATCTGTAAGACGTGATTTACCACTGTTGCGGGATGCTCCTTTTGCCTTCTCCGGTTGGACGTCTTCCACTGCGTTCAAACGGTTGCGTCTTTTGCATCGTACGTCTCTACGCATGATCCACTCGATGCATCTTACGAAGTCTTCAAGCAATACGTCACCGTTGCACCCATGACGGGTCCCTGAGCCTTTGGTGGATGAGGGTCTGTTTCTGCGTCTTGGAATATAGTCTCTCCAATCGCTTTGGTGCAAATGTAGCTTTCGGGTGTGCCTCTCACGACGCCAGCAAGTCGCATCATCAAACTCGACCAGACTTTGTCAACGTGAGACTATGAAGTAAAGACAGCGTGTCTTTACGTACCACCTCGCCATGTGCTCCATCCAAGAAGGCTGTGACGTGATTTGCTGCATCCTTTTGAATTCTTCCTCTGTTGTTTGATTGGTTCTTTGCGCTGGGGGTCTGTCGAGCAGCTTGCACTGTTATTTGCTGGCTGGGAATACAAGAATTGGCAACTTGTCAACAATGACGTGTGAACACGAGCTAGCCACAGCGTTACCGGTCTGGGCACTCTCGTTTCCACTTGTAGGCTGAGGGAACTTTCTAGAAACCGGCTTCATTGTGTCAGAGGTTTCGTCGGTCAGCTCGAGCCAGCCAGCATCATCAGTCGACTCTGGAGATGAAATGCTCAAATCGTCGTCGATTGTTGGTTACACTACGAAGTCGGTTGTGCAGTGCCCATGTACCACTCCGCTCTTCAGCACTTCGACAGTTGTACCTCGTCGGTACTCTTCATCTGATTATTCGATTTCTCAAGAAAACGCCGTTGTCTCGTCGTTTTCGGCGTTTTCCAATGACCCTTTCAGCACGTGTTTTGAGAATTCTTAAGTCTGGAACCTTGTGAAGAGGGAGCTGCGTGCTGACGTTACATGCCCTAGATTGAGAGTGCCCACTGAACTCTATGGGGGTTGATTACTTGCGCCTTTTTCCATCGAGCGGTCCCCACTGAAAGAGCTCTGACAGAGGCTTGTACGGCGTTTTTCCATATCCAACGATTACAACGTCCTTCAATCGCATAAGCACCGCTCCGTCTTTTGAGTCACCATCAAGCACCTGCTTTAGTGTACTACAACCCTAACTTCCTCGTTTTCGTTGCAGCTTCTTCTCGAGCCTGACGTCACACGCCGCCGCCGCCTGCTTCGCTGACGTCAGCCAGGCGCCGCTGCGGCTCCAGGCGGAGCGGGTGTGCGAGCTGATGGACGCTGCGGGGCGGGTCGTGGAGGCGGCGAGAAAGACCAGAGACGCGCACGCAAGCAGGTGACACATTCGCTTTATCCTCCATCCTGATTTCCAGCATTCTGCGGTCGTTGAAACTGTGTGACGTCTGTGATGGTTGAGATTGACATCTTTAAATTGATCCTCGCGTATGGTTGCTCCAGCCCCCTGATGCTTCTTGGTTCCTTTGCCCTTTATTTCGGACGGCCCTTTCAGACTTCCCTGTGTCAAGCTCCGTTTTGAAAAGGACTGCCTTCACCCCTCTGAGCTGCGTACGACTTCTGTAGGCAGTATCTGCCTTGGGCCCTGGATTGTTCCGCGGCGTTTTGGACAAGTCCGCATTGCCTCGACTTGTTTCCTGAGTCAACAGCTTTTTTAATCGCACTTCCGGCTACAGCCCGGTTCTTTTCTCGCCCAACTCCTCTCCAAGTTTGAATGGGCTTAAGTAGGGTTTTTGGTCGCTCACGCTTGCATTGAGACCCTTTCTCCATCCATCGTATTTGCAGTTTCGAATCAATCCCGGGTCTTCCCTGGACCGCTTCTCCCCCAGTTTTGGACGGCCTCTGGACGCTCTGCCGCCTCGCTTCGGACGTCCAAACTAGAGCGGCGTCCTCGAACCCCTCCCTGGTGCCCCTGATCAATCAACGGCTGAGATCGCTCGGGGAGATGCTGCTGGACGGCCACAGAGAGTCGCTCGAGGCCACGCTGCAAGCCGGGGGGAGGGCTGACGTCATCGGGGCGCGGAAGGTGAGGGGTTTCCGCGTTTTGGTAGAACTCGCAGATTTTGACGTCCTCATAAGTCTTTTGCTCCTGTGAAACTCTTCTGAATGTCACGGGAAAAGGGCAGCGCGACGTCATATTCTGGACTAGTCTGCCGTTCTGTGAAACTTTTGCCGGAAGCACAAGGGAGTGCTTCTCCAGCATCATAGAAGGAAAGAGGCCGTACTGTGTGAAAGAAGGTCTCTGCCATGTCACGAGGGAAGGGTGACACGCTCACCCATAAACAGGAGGAGACGTCAGCTTAAAGAGGGCGTCGGGGGCTACCGGTTCCCCCTCGGCGACCAGCAAAGTGCCCACAGAGCCAAGTTGGTCGCTGGAGACAGTTCTTGAGATGGAACCTGGTCCGTCAGATGAGAATTTCCTTCAGGACTCAGACGCACGAGTGTTCCTTGAAATCTGACGCCCTCTTTAAGCGTCAGCTTGCCGCCAGCACGTGAGCCGTTCGTTAGACTCCACATGAGCATACCCCGACGTCACCAGATCCTTCGCAGTCGTCGATTCACGGCGACTCTTCCACTCTAACTTCGTAAGTACGACAGTCCCTCCGGTGTTCCGCCAAATGATACCCCCTCAAAACAAGCCACGTGTCTATTCGCAGGAGTATGCTGCGCGTCGGGACGTCCTCCTCCGCGCGCAGCTGCACTTCGTCCGTGGCGCGGCGACAGCTGTCCCTGGCGGAGACCAATCGGGGCCGGGATCAGAGGTCGAGAGGGCCCGGGCGACCACCCGCGAGTACGCGTACCTTGCGGCGGTCGCCAAAAAGCACGGCTGCTTCGAGGTGAGCTTGCTCTCTCTAATCTTCCATGAATTTCGATTCGAATGAAGGCTTGCGTATGCTACCATTTGTATGGCAGGCTTGTTTAGAATGAAAGGGCCTAGATGCTTGTAGTATCTATAGCTGGCGGCAGCCGCCAAAAAGCACGGCTGCATTGAGACGAGCTTGCGAGAGGGCGGTAGGAGAGCTTACTAACGGAAATTCATCTAGGCACACAGTCCAGCGCAAAGACTGAGGTGTTGTTGGTTGTTGCTGCGAACTTAGGACCACGTGATTTTTGGGGGACACTTAGAGCGGAGTCGCGGCCAGACCGTCGCTTAGGGTGACCGGTCCCTTGACGCCCTCTTTCCCTTTTCTGCCGCAACTGTCGACTCTACATCCAACAAAGTCATGCGGTCGCTACCAGTCGTACCGCATGTGTAACCAAGTTGGTTCATTAAAGGCTCACTTGGTACTCCAGAATCATGTTTACCAAGCGGAAGTTGCCTAGAGGAATTCGTTACCCTTCCATCACCAGATAAGCAACCCCCCTCTGCAGGTATTAGCCGACATTTGCGAGGACCGGGGGGACGATGCCCGACTGCTGGACTACATGAAGGCCGACCCCCCCGCCGCGTCTGAAGGCCGCTTCTCGCTGTTCGTCTTCGAGCGGTGCTTAGCGCAGAGAGAGGAGTCGCGGCTTTTGCGGTTTGGCGACCAAGGGTTTGGGAGGGAGCTCGGGCGCTTCTTGGAGGGGCGGCCGCGGCTACGGTGGCTCCACGAAAGTGAGGCTTGCCATGACACTCTTTTTGGCGTGAACTTTGGAGGATCTCTCAGTCAAAAGAACATGATTGCTGGTCACACCTACAGTCTGGAAAATCTAACTATACGGATGATGGATATAACCGCAATGTCCGAGGCTGAGCCATCCTTTTCCCGGATGCACAGTTCATGAAGAGTTGCCTTATCGAATATTGATGCGAACTCTTCAGTCGTGCAGTAGACTTCTTAAAAAGGTTCGGACTTGTCTACCGTCAGCGGCCCTCCGTTTATGAGGAAGTTTTATTCAGCGGAATGAAGGTGAACATGTGAGGAGACAATGCTTTTTGCTAATGGCCAGAACATATGCGGGCGCTGCGGACACTTAAACGACACCGACGAGCTGCCATCGGTTTGGAAAGATACCCGGAGAAAATCAGTCAGAGACCACAAAACTACTAGGAAGAGGATTCGAGGGAGCTTCGCCCTTTGCAGTTGGACAGCAGGAGTTCTCGGACGCTGCGGACACTCTGGCGTCGATCAGCGGCACCGAGGAGCTGCCGTCCGTGTCCGAAGCGCAGCTCCGGCTCCAGCTGTGCGTGGAAAAGCTGGCCAGGCTGGCGGCGCCTAGAACTGCGAAAACGGAGGCACTTTTGGATACATTGGACCGGCGAATAGGGCTTATCGATCTGCAGGTAAGCGTCAAGTTTTGGGTTTTTTTAACAATCTGCTCCTGATTCTCCGTGTGACGTTTGTTGCCCTTCTTAAGGTTTTATGGAGGTAGAAGCTGGCCCGGTTAAGGGCCCCCAGAATCCCAAGCAACGTCCTAAAACCGTCAAAAGCTCCCCAGGTGGAAACGGCGTGTGTTCCGGGCGTCCCCTTCCTCCCGCGCAACTCGTCGAGGAGCTCCTCAAGGGCGACCGGGGGGTTGTACCGGCCGCTCTCGAGGCGTTCTCACTGGCCGAGAAGGAATTGTTCAGTCTCAAATTCTCTGAAAGATAAACCCCTGAGAATCTGATTCTCAGGTGGGAAACGGAGTTTGTCCCGGGCGCCCCCTTTCCCCCGCGCAACTCGTTGAGGAGCCTCTCAAAGGCGACCGGGGAATCGTCCCGGGCGTTCTCCCTGAACCAGGAAGTACACCACAAAACCGTAATCCTAAATTGCTCCTCAGGTGGAACACGGCGTGTCTTCCGGGCGCCCCCTCCCCCCCGCGCAACTCATTGAAGAGCTTCTAAAAGGCGACCGGGGGGTAGTACCGGCCGCTTTCGAGGCATTCTCTCTGGCAGGGCCGTCGTTCGTTGCGGAGAACCGGGCACTGGTCGAGAGGGCCTGGCTTAAGGCGGCCAGCTTGGACGATTGGCTGGCATTTCAAAAAGCTTACGTCAGCGAGGTAAGCCCATGATTGCAGTTCGACTTTTATCATGCGTGTGTGGGAAGACCCGTGTCTACTGGTTGATGAACTTGTTGCTTCCAATGCCTTACCAAAAGTTCTTACAGCCGTCCGCTCTGCCTCCCAACATCTGGGGCTTGCAGAGCAATACTCTTGTTGTTAGATTGTCAAACTCTTTCCCGAGACGAAGCTAGTGGAACGTGGCTTTTGGAAGAAACGGCTTATGTCGTTGATTGGAGGAAGGCATGGAAGACTTTTCTTCTCATTTTGCCTTGGAGCTGCCGACAAAGAGATAAGTGGCCTCATTTGGTGTGTTCGCGGTCGTTTGTCAAGTCAGCTTTAAGCGTTTGGAAGACACGATCTGTCCTCCCCTTGACATTGGGATATGTGCTTCACCATACTGAAGTTCTAAGATACAGCGGGTCTTCAAAACGGTCTTTCAAGGAGAACAATGAGAGCTTTTCTGAGAACACTGTATCATGCACGAGAGGGCTACTTGATACAGCTTCGAAAGCGCACTTTCAGATCGCGCCACGTGCGCGTTCCGGGACCCTCAGGAGTCTCAGAACATCTTTCGTTAGTTGGGGCATTTGCAAAGGGATAAAGCCCCTGGCCCGCACTTGAATTCGGCAAGAGTGGTAGGAAGCCTTGCTTTCGGATTGGTGGAGCACTGGCCGCTTGCTCGACTTCGAAAAACCAACGTCTCTTTCAATGGATAGGACTTGCTCAGACAGTCCGTTGCCGATTTCCACTGACATCAATCGCCCCGTGCCTCGTGTTCCAGGGATGGAGTGACGCCATGTACCTCGAAGAGTTACAGAAGACGGTGCTCTGCTCGGCGGCCGCAAACTTATACGCTCGGGATGGAAGCTACTCAATGACGGAAGTAATGCCTTTGAGAAGCGGAGATGGGAACCAGCAGTGGTCGGTACAAGCAATGCTGTCAAAGCACGCTAGTTTCGCAGCAGCAGCAGAGGTGATGCTCGATGCCGTGGCGTTTGGGTCTGGTAGCGAAGGGGGCGGGCTTGAGGGAGGTTCTAGCACGATGCTTTTGGACTAATCAACGCAAGTGCACGACGGTCAGCTTGGACGGACATTGCCTTGAATATGAGCATGAGATCATTGCTTGGGATCTCGCGAAATGATTGGACAACATATTGTTGTTTTCGCGCTGTTACGGCATGCCGGATCGTTTCCCTCTCTACTAGAAAAGACGATTAAGGCCGTGATTGAAGCCGGGTGACTTTGGCCGCCTGCTCTGGAACGCTTGAGCGACGTCAGCTCGAACCCTCAAGGATTTCTCAGTCGATCCGGCCCTAGCCTAGCTTGACAGATTGCATGACCAGGCTAGGCTAGCCAAATAATAGCGGCAGATGGTCAAGCCAGGCCAACGGCCGGATCACAATACTAACGCGATCGACTGCAGTGCAGCTCTTTTGAAAACCACAAGAGTTTGGCCGGGCCTTGCCGCCAAGGCGGCGATCCGGATGGTGCCACATGCATGTCACTGCGTCGAGTTTGAAAACGCATGAAGCAGCTCCGGCGTTCCTATAGGTATCTCGGACCAACTTACTGGCTTTCCGGCGTACGGTATACGGACCCAAGTGCATTTACTGCTCCCTAGCATAAGTTGCTGGCAGGGACCGTTAAATCCGCTGACACCCGAGAATCTCAGATGCGGTCATGATGGAAAGTACTGACATCCGATGTCTACTGCATGGGCGCCGTCGGATCCTGAAGGGGACGGCTGACAGACGATTTCAGAAGATCAGAAGCTCCTGTACCTATTCGGTACCTTGGACGCTACGTGCCGTGCTTACCGAACGGTAGTACAGTGTACCGCGCTGTCCTGACTCCTGACTCCTGACACCCGTACTCGGCGCCCATAGCTTATGATTCTTGCATCCCCTCTGGCACGCTGGCCACTCCGAGGATCTCAGCTTCTGACTCTGAGTGGCGTGAAGTTTGAGCTGGAGGAAGGGCCTGCGGCTGCTAATGGGGCCCGCTATAAATAGCGGCTATTTGTACGTACACTGTACGTACAGTTACCTATCAAGGGGCCTTGAATCTGCCAGCAGCTCTCATGAGCAGTCTTTTGCCAATGGTACGTATTGGATGAACACTGATCCAAGGCCAATTAGAGCAGTTCACATGCATACTTCACCCTGCATTCGTAAAGCATTGCAAAACGCACAATCCTCCGCAAACCTGCATCCCTTTCCAACAGCGCCAGCAAAAGCTTTCCCTCTGAGAGCGCAGCCATGGCCCGCCTTATGATCGCCGCTCTCCTGATCGCGACAGTCGCGTCCGTTTCAGCGGTCGACTCCTTCTCATACGAGTCCAGGAAGCTGGGGACTGCATCCTACTACAAGTTCGAGTGAGTGCGCCAAAACCATCTCTATATATCGTTAATTGCAGTTTCTGATTCTAGAAGACCAAGTTGAAACGGTTGTTTTATCATTGGCTGCAGGATTGCATTTTCTTCAGGGAGTGAGTTGAGAATCCATATTTCTCGACATTGGTTCTGATCATGGCGTTGAATCAATCAGCGCATCTCTCTGTGAGCTGTGTCACGGATGAGCATTTCCTCTCCATCTTAAACTAGCTAGAGTAGTTGCTGATTGTCCACATACTCTGTAATGCATTTGTTGGTTTGACCAAGACATGGCTCTTGGTTCCAAATGGTGAAATATTATGAGCCCGGCTTGTCCAGAACTTACATGCAGAATCGATTTTGTGTGGCCCTCAGGTCTTCTTCTCTGTTGTTCTTCAAAAGCACCGACTTACTATTGTTGAGCCCCCAATGAAAGCAGGCCTTCCCTGTTTCCTGCTCAGAATTGTACGTCTGACCATCTGCTAAGATGAACCTCTGGATTTCTTGCAATGCTGCATGCACTGTGTATAGCTTCTAGCTTTAGACAGAAACGAGTAGAAGGACTTCTGATTTAAGTAGCTATCACGTCTGAAAACGTAAAGCATTTTTAGAGAATTGCATTGCTTTGACATAATTGTTGGTGTCGAATGCATAATCAACTGCAATGTCAATTTTATGTTTAACAATGTTCTCTGAGGTTTACACAAGGCTCCTCTTTACTTTCTCCTGTCCGTTCCACAATTTTGTTTTTTTGCCTCCTCTCAAGGCTTGGAGAAGTCGTCTTCAAATAAAATCAGGTCAATTCTTGGTTACGGTCCATCTTGAAGCAGGGTCAATCAAATTGCAGTCACACCCCAAGTCAACCAAGCGAGTGGCAATTAACAGCTAATCTTTCTGGCAGGTTGTCTCGATCTGACTGCCACCGGAGGCAGCGGTAGCCCAGGCCCTTCAACTAAACAGTTATGGTTAGATAAGAATATATTGCTTCTCAAACAAGTGCTCCTTAACCAAGAACTAAACCAAGTACAAACCTTGTTTGTGCCAGCTTCTTAACCAAGAACTAAACAAAGTGTGAACCATTTTTTTGCCAGTGCCACTGAGCTGATCGGCGGGGAAGGCGGCAAGTTCCCCGAGGCGCCCGGCGAGACGCTGACGTACAAGAACGTCATCACGGCCGGGGGCATCCACGGTGACGTCATCGCCTTCATCAACGGCTACTTCGTGCTGACGTCAGCGGCCGCCAACGGCGAGGAGGCGTGGTTCGAGCAGACCCAGACGGTCGTCTTCACCAAGGGGCCCTTCAAGGGCAGCTCGATCACCATCGCCGGTAACCCGCTCTTGACGCTCTTAACCCGTTCTTTGTTAACCCTATCGTTTCCGATGTTCAGCCATTGAAAAGCCCTTTCTTGACGATATTCCTGTTAACCCCGTTTTCGGCGCACTCCTGATGAACTTTCAAGCCATTCATCTTAACCTATCCCAGAAGCGCTTTCACCAGCTTTCGATTTCGCCAATCTTTTTGCTAGTTTTTCGACCACTTCCTTTCTTTTTCTCTTTCTTTCCCTCGTTGAATACCGTGCTCGACAGCAGATCCTTTTGCTGGAACGATCCGCAGAACTCTTCCTGGTTACTCCCAGCCGCACCCGGCACATGTACACCTTGAGAATGGTTGCACGAATCTCGAGCGACTGGTATACCCAGGGTTGCAAGCAGGAGTCAGCTCTGTGCCAAAAAGGCTGAATCAGGGCCTTTCTTTAGGACAGGTGCTTAAAAGGCTTTGGCGCTAAACCTCCGCTTTCGGTCGTGGGCGGCACAAAGTGTATCGGTAAATCCCCCGCCAAGCAGACTCAACCAGCAGTTACAAATCAAACCCCGAAGTGGGCCCCAAATGTTTAGCTGAATGTTTTAGAGGGTTCTGTCTCAAATGATGAAACAAAATTCGACAAGTGCTTAAGCTTTCGGCGCGAGCCCTCCGCTCTCCATCGTGGGCGGAACCGGAAGATTCTAAACGAACTGCGACAGATTTCACCATTTTACCATTTCGCGGCATAACCCCCTTCATTGTTACATTTCGATATTTTGTCAGTCAAGCAAACCTGTGAATCGACTGAACCAAGGCCTTCCGTTCCGACAGGCGCTTACGCTTTCGGCGCGAACCCTCCGCTCTCCATCGTGGGCGGAACCGGAAAGTTCGCGGGCGCTAAGGGGGTTTACTCCGCTGGCGCTGACCCTGACAGCGAGCACGCGGCGAGCCTCCACTTTGAGTTCACCACCGACAAGAAGATCGCCGGAGCTTCCGCGTTCGAGACCATTTACGATTGGCTCTTTTAGATCAGCAGCGTTTGTACAAGTCTCTGGTTTCTAAGAGAGGACCGCTAGGCGGTCCAACTAACGTCCTGAAGTCTGAGAGGTTACTGAGGTTTGGTTCGAGCTCGAGGAGTGTTTTGCTGGAGAATGTAACCAGAGGACTTGTTTTGGCAGTTTTGGCTGACCTAAATCGGCATCGGCAGGAGGTTTGATGCCGAAGGTTGAGGTTGATGACGTGTAACCCACGCTTAGCGGGCTGGACGGCGTATTCGCCACATGAACGCGAGTCGCTTAGTGAGCGTGGTATTTAATAACGTAGCGCGTACCAGGACCCTCGTCGTGCGCTAATTTTTGATCGCGAAGCACAAAAGAACGTCGTGCTTTGACCACTTTTCCGATGGGAGATGTACCGCCGAATCCGTAATATTGATTGATATACCGGCAGCTTACAGCGCTAGGACTTTCCGATGGTTACGGACCAACATTTGCCCATGCGATTTTGTCTAACCAAGGCTGTACGAAATTCATCAAGAACGATTTCTTTCAGACATCATGCACATCGATCATTTGACACATCTCTCTGCATTCTGAGGCCGCTCGCTGTGCTGCCTCCTTTTTTTGATTCAATGTGTTCCTGCTCATAAAAAGCCGACTGGGGAATGTGGCCGGTTCTCAAGTCAAGTAGCCCGGGCAACCACCAGGGCCGTGCCGTTCTCTCATATATTTTGTGTCTACCTCAATGACATGATTGCTTTCGTTCAACCAGCAATGTACGGGATTAGACATGCGAGGCGCTCCTTTTGCACGCTTCATGATCAATAAGAAAACCATTGCCTCTTGGATTTACCAACCAAAGCGCCCATGTTTATTCGCGTTTTGAGGAGGGTTTTGACAGGTAACCTCCGAGTCCTTGCGCGGGAGCGGTATCTTTGTTACTAAGCTTGGAATGGATACTTCTTAAGGACGTTCCGAACGCATTCTGGAGTCCGTGCTTAGCTTCAACCAGCTTGAGTGTCTTTGATGTACGACGTTGATTCTGTATTACATATTTTGCTTACTTGTACATTCAAGAACACGGTGCTGTGCAAGGATCGATGCTTTTCGACATCTAAGTCCGTCCAAATTAACAGTTTCTCCATATCAGATGTGAGAGGCGCCTTTGGAGACACCTGCGAAAGGGCCTTTTCGCGCATCCACCCTGCGTCTGAGGGTGGATGGGCGTTCCGTTCCTCACTCGCTGCCGCATCTTGCAAGGGTGACGTCACGTTTGTCAGTCCTGGATGCTGCGATCTCTGTCGGACTGTATGGGAAGCTTGGCCTCAGTTGTTTGCGGACTGGATGAGGCGCGTAAAAAGCGCCTCATCATGAAATGAGGCGCCTCGCCGCACGGCGACACCGCGCATGTCCCCCGCTCTAGTTCTCTCGTCTGCTGCGGTGCTCGCGGGGGGGTCCGTTCGCAGCCGAGCCGCAGTACCACCAGCCCCCCATTACATTCAAGCCGGGCCCTCTCCTCCGACCTGCTTACAATGTCACAACCTCGTTCGTCTCAAGTTGAAATTAGCCCATTTCCGCTTCCTTCCACCGTTCCGGTTCCGCTTGAACGAGACGTGCCGGATCAGCTCGATCCGTTTCCCTCCATAACAGATGCTTGCCGAAAGATGAATGGGTTTGTGGACGTACCAGGACTTGCGAAACCGGAGTCACCAGACGATGACGTAGCGGCCCGTGGGCAGCGCTTTCTCGAAGCTGTCGCTGACGTCAAACAGGTTCCCCCCGGCAGCCGGAGGGCTTGCCGCGGAAGCTTATCCTTGGGAGGCCTGGCCAGATATATACGTCCATCTTAACTCTTTTTCATGTCTTCGATTCTTGATTCTTGATCTGCTGACTACTGGACTGACTTTTGCGAATCCAAAGCCCAATAGATTCTCATAATGTGAAGCCCAGGGGACGGGTTGGTTAGCTTGGTAGTTACATGAATTCCGATATGCGGAGCGCTGGAATGTCTGACTACAATCAATTTGTTTTCGTGCAAGGAAAGCCCTAAAATAGTACAGATTATTAGTCATAAGATCTCTTCGTTTTTGCCGAGCAGCATGCCCTTTCAAACCGTGCAATTGGATCTTTAGGAATTTGAGGATAACCTGGACACCGGCTCTTCTAGCCAAAGGTTAGTCCGGAAAAATGTCGCTGGTTCCCCTTCCGCATTGTACTTCTATATATTTAACCACGCGCATCTGACGCGCGGCACGCACCGATCTCGTCTTCCCCCAGCACCACCGCGCTTCTTGTCACTTGCTCCGCGGTTCCGTTCCCTCCGACCAGAATCCGCTCCGGAAAGGTGCGACTCCCCGTCGGACGAAGCGACCGATCAGCCGGGCCTCGAGCCTTCAAGACAAAGGAGTTGTGGGGTTGGCAGACAGTCCTACGATTACCTACGTCTAGCCACAGTATCTTTATCAGTGGGACTGTGAGGAGAGCAGGAAAGTCACCGACAGGGGAACGGTAGGCTCTCTGAGACCTGATCTACTCCCGGTGCATGCTTCGAAGAGGTTTATTTTTCCAGCTGAGGCAGATTTAGAAATTTAGCTCACACTGATCATTTTCAACAACGGTGATCAAGGTGTATTCTGACGCCGTCAGTGAACGAAGAGGCCCTGGAGGCCAATCACTTCAAGATCGGCTCAAGGGGGGCTCTCCGACATAGACTGCTCTCGCGGTTGTTGAGCATGAACATCTTCATTATAATTCAGCCCGGATCTAGTGGGAGACTTGAAATCTTCAAATTTGTCCATTTCCTGCGTTTATGCGTTGCAATACTAAATCATTCTGACACGTACATATGCAGCTTGCCGGGTCCAGGGCCGACAAGCTGCTGCAGTGCTGCCCATGCCGTCTGATGGCGTGCACGAAGTCCAGCTTGTGGAATGACGTCATCCACCGAGGAAAACTGGCAGCGCCTCACAGCGCCTCACAGTGCTCAGGCCCTCAGCGCTGGTAAGCGAGTCCGGCGCGGGGGTTCCGCGGAGTTTTCCGCTAGGCGTTCCGATCTGCCGTTGGTTCCGCTATCAGCGTTCCGGCCGTCCGACAGAAACGGAAGGACTTTGCTCTGCACGCTGCAAGAGCAATGTTCAGTGACACAGGCTCATTCAAGTCCTTGCAAAGCCCCATTTGTCCACTATCCAAGCGCTTCAAAGCGCATTTGGATGGGTTTATTTCTACAGGAGTCCTTGAAGCAACGTGTCTGAAAGCTCTGCTTCCTGTCATGAGCTGACCATGGTCAAAGGCAGTGCCATTTGGAGTTCAGCAATGAGCTTTCAGAAAGCATCTCACGAGTCCCCTGTAGGGGGGCTCCTTTTTCTCCAGAGCCTGGCTGCAGACAGAAAGGTGTCACCTTTCAAAAAACCGGCAGGCCCGGTGGTGGAGGACGCGTCCTCTCATGGGTATAAGCTGCTGGATTTTGCACTTAAATGTGATCTTACTGGTGTGGAAAAGGAACTTGCTGCCGCAAGTCTAGAGGACGTCAACTATATAGGAACAAGGCTGCTGAAGGTGCGGACTTGGGAAGTTGTGTTGAATGCACAAGGGCCCGTAAGAGTTGCGTATGATTACACAGAGTACAAAACGGACAGCACTCCGCTGTTTGCGGCTGCACATTTGGGGAATGGGGAGATGGTGGAAAAGCTGGTGGTGAGTCCTTCCGAGGTTCTTCTTCTAGGAGTTAAGTTTTTGGACTCGTGGGGTGTGCGAAGCAGAAGAGTAAGGTTGTGTAGTTGCTTGTAGGTATTTCATTCATCATCAGTCCACGATTCTGGTTGAAAACAAGATACATGCAAATCTGGATGGTGTGACACATTCTCAAGGGTTTCTTGAGGGTTTTTTTTTGCAGTGCACAATCATCAATGAGCTTGTAATGCAATGCTTAGCTTGCTTTCAAACATCTGCCTCCTGCAAACCTTTTCAATGCTCCGCTTTGAATGACTGGGATGTGAGGGAGCAGTGATTGAAGAATTCGCTTCGCTTTGGTGAATTTTCTCCAGAGAGTTACAGGTCAGCAGTGTATAATTCATAAACCAGAAGCAAGCCAACTCAGAAGCAGCATCTGCAATGTGACTCGTCGTCCAGACCAGATGAAAGACGCCAACCTTTTGAAAACGCACAAAGATCTGCCTGACTGGAGATCCCTCATTTTACTCCTACATTTGAGAGAACACCTTTCATGCTAACATCTTAGTACGTGTCTTTCCTTGCCAATCTCTGTCTGATCATCCACTGCCGTCGCTTCTGGGGATTTTGTCATCTACTTGAGCATTGTGCACCTTTTGTCAAACAGCAGTTTTGAATGCTCCTCAGGCAAAAGCAGGGCCAAGAGGTACTAACGATTTCGAAGCAACCAGCAAACCTCGAAAATCCACACAGCATTTGGCGCTGGAACTGCTCCCGTATTAACCCCAGATGTTTAAGGCTATGATATCTAACTGTGCTGAGACAATGATTTGCGAAATGTGTAACGTACAAAGTAGGCAAGTGCTCGGCAGCAGTTGAATGCATTTCCTGTCAATGTCAGTCTTGGTCGGCACATACTGATGCTGAAACTTCCGCACAATCTCTTTTGGACTTAAACATAAGTGTGTGACATTACGATTCTGGAGGTCTTAGTTGGATTAAAGTGAGTCCGGCCCTGCTTGAAAGGGTACCTCATGCTTTTACCCGAAAGACTTTGTTCAGAAAACATTGGGGGACAAACAAACGCAGAGAACTGCAGAAGCAGGAAACAAGGAAAGGGCGATGGGAGGGCCTGGGTATTTACGAGCAACCGCAGATCTGACACGCAAAGCTAACATTGTGCAGGCTGCCGGCGCTGATGCGAACGCACGGGTCTTTCGAGGCTACCCTAGCACTGCTGCGGCCCAGGAGGGACACGCAGCGGCCCTGCAAGTGCTGATCAGCAAAGGAAAGCTTAGTGTGGTAAGTTGCAGTTTGCTCCCTCTTTTTAGGCCGTTCTATAAAGTGCACCACAAAAGTAGGTCAAGGCGTATCCTGGTGCGCAAGCAAGGCGATGTTACGCATTTGACCCCAGCGACGAGCAGGTACAACCTCCAGTCTGCAAGGCCCCCATCCCCCTGCTTTTGGCACTGCTTGTTGTGAGCCGAAGAAATCCCAACCCTTGTAACATAGAGAAAATGCAGTTCTGATTAATCTGTAACGCAATCTATCTCCGAGCAACAACAGAGGTGGTTCCTTGAATGGTCCCACTTCTATCCACACAGGTTTGTTTGAATCTTGAAAGAAGGATCCAACTTTCAAACCATTCATTCAAGAAAATCAGCGCTCATCTTTCATGCAATTGATCTGTTCATAGGTCTTGGTTTGGCCTATGATGTTGACACGGTGGTCGACGCGGACTAAGCTGTCTCCGGCATGTGGAGACTGCCAAGTGGTTGTAAACTTGAAAACCATCCGGCGTCAGAATCTCCAAACAGCGTCGTCAATATGCAGAAGGACTGGACCTTATGGCCAAAGGAAAAGCAGGCGCCATTTGTTGGTGTCCACAGTCTGGAGTGGGATCATTCATCCTGATTCAGAACTGGTTTGCAAGACAAGAGTTAAGCAGACTTCCAGCCATGCCAGCGAGTGACTCTCAGCCATCGTAATCTCAGCGGTGACTTGGTATAAGCTTGGATTGTTGATGCGGGGGCGCAAACAAGAGCTCCAGCGTTTCTTCAAAGGAAGAGCTGATTGAGGGCAGAGGGTTACTCGAATAAGAAACGACAAGGTAGTGCGATTCAAAACAGAGCAGACGAAGCTAAGAAAGAATTGGAATTCTGGTTGCTCACAGGAAGCAATTGAAGAGGCGTTGCTGGAGGCAGCTCTCCACAACCGGCCGGATGCGCTGAAACTGCTCCTGGATTGCCATGTGGCAAGGGATCCCACCCTCCAGCAAGCGTTGGTCCAGGCCAGCTCCCGTGGTCACCTAGAGATCGTCCAACATCTGATCGAGGTATCTTCTCTCAGCATCTGACTCTCTCGAGCTGCGATTGAGTCTCTCGCAACTATTTCCATAAACCTCTGTCCGCTCTGCCTCAAGGAGTTTGAAGACAGGAGTTGAAGTGATGTTGCCATCCTGCATATCATGCGTCAGTTTAGCGTCAAGGTTTTTCTTGGCTGGCTCCACGATCTACAAATTGTTTACCGCAAGGCTGGTTTGCTCCTCTTCTGGATTTTTGCCATGCCAGGCTTCGACGTCTCTGCGACGTCTCCTCTGAAGCAGACTCTCTAGAGTCTACACACCGTTCGTCAACTCTTCTTCGGAGCGACCATGATCATTACTTTGTTATTTGCAAGCGAGTCACTAGGAACATATTTCCGACCGAACGTTGCGAATTCCAAAAGCACGCACGACATTTACTACGACGAAAGCTTTGCCCCGCTTCGTCTTCTTTCGTGGAGCACGCGTTGCTTATCTGAAGTTGTCGATGTGATTTGCAGTATACCAGTGTGTGAAAGTAGCACACAGCCATTCCTCCGGTCTCGCATCATTGTTCTTTTCTCCTGTTCTGCCACTCTTGTACTCATAAAGAACTCGTCAGGCATTTTAAAAACGGCCATATTGTATCTTTGCTGAAATCGGACAGCAGAATCCCATTGCTATTGGCTTTCATTTCTATCTTATCGAGTTGCCTGCAAGAAGGTTATTCACACCGCATGCTCTCACCCTGCCATCGCCGCTCTTGCTCCAGGCCGGCATCGATGTGAATTGCTCCCGCCGCATCCTGGTCCAATGTGCGCAGCCCCCCCTCCACCTCAACGCCACGTGTACGCCCCTGATCGCGGCGGTAGTCTCATGTCAAAAGCCGATTGTAGACGCTTTACTGCTGGTAAGAGCCGCTTCCCTCCGTTTCTGCCCTCTGTCCGTGTTCTGCTGAAATGGACGTCACGATATGAAATAAATTCTGTGATTAGAAAGGTGATTCAACCGGGCAAAGAGAAACCTCAAAGCCTAAGCTAGACGTTTACGCGCTTCGTACTCAAACCCACCCTATCCGTCAAGCTAGCCCCACCCGTTTTCCGGGCTAGACCTTGATGTGTATTAGCTTTTCATTCATAGACCCAACATTTGTGCATCACGAGGTTCAAAGATGGTGATAGAGGCATGTTTCGCTATGCACAGGTTGGCGCGTCGCTCAGAGCCAGAGCCTCGCTGGGTGCCTGTGCGTGGACCATTTTCAGATAGCAGAACTCTAAGAACAAAGTTCCCTTTTGATACACAAAGGCCGGGGCATCGGCTAGGGCAATATGGAACCATGAAGAAACTCAAAAAATTGTGAACGTCGAGGTCAAATTCCGCAGTTGAAGGATCTCGATTGCAAAGAGAAAATTTCACTACAGGCTGGTGCGTCGCTCAGCCCCAGAGCCTCGCTGGGTGCCTGGGCGTGGGACCAAAGCGAAGCGGAGGAGCTCAAAGTCGGGGCGGGGTTGGGAGAACCGTACGGTGCAGCCTGGGCCGCCGTCGAGTTCTGCCGGGGGCCCCTCGGGGGTGAGATCCTCGAGGCGCTGATGCGCCACGCTGACGTCAGCGAGGAGATTGCGGGGCGGACGCTGCTCTACCATGCCGTCCTGTGCGGGTGAGTAAATTTGAGTGACGTGGCGAGTTGTCGAGTTTGGGCAGTAACGCGGAAATGTCGCCACGATAAAAGTTTAAAACCGAGCTCAAACGGAGCCTCCCGCTGTTTCCCAGATGATGTGCTGGTTTTGCTGGTAGGAACGCTATCAGGAATGATCGTCCCGTTACTAAATCAGTTTTACGATCAGAAAGCAGGAGTGCTAACAGCTGGTTTCACGCCTCCTTCAATCCGCTCCTGATACGTCCTATTTTTTAACCTGTTTCTCACGTCCTGTGCAACGAGGTCAACACACGTGTATGCCTTATCAATCTTCAAGAGCTTCCAGTTGCCAGCATCTTCTGAGCTCCTTTCTAAACCGCGCCTTGTTCTGTTGTTAGCTACTTTCATGTCTACTCTACTCCACACAAGTCTGGTCACACCCTTCCCTACGTTCTGAAATCTGACCATTTTCAGTGACATCATGACTGACATGATGGGAATGGATAGGTTATCTTGGTGAAACTTGCCGTTTGCTAGGAGCCAAGTCCGTCCAACGAACACGGGTTCCAACAGCGCCAGAAACGATAGATTCAAGCCTCCGTTCAACCCGCTTCTTGGTGTTTCCAGGAACGCCCCAGCGGTCTCCATTCTGCTGCAACTCGGCGCAAGCCCTGAGCAAAGCATCCCATCATCTTCCAAGAAACAGAGCTTCCAGCCAATATACCTCGCCGCGCGCCTGGGCGATCTAGCCATTCTGAACACGCTCCTCGCGGGGGGGTGCGATCTTAACTGCCGGAACGACTCGGACAAGACCCCCGCAATGACTGCGGCCGAAAACGGACAGATGGCAGCCCTGGGGGCGCTCATCGTGTCCGGCGCGGATTTGGGGTTAGTGGACGGGTCAAAGAGGAGTTTGCTAACCATTGCTGACGAAAGCGGGCACGGGGAGAGCGTCCGAGAAACGGTCCGAGGGGCGCTCATCGCCGGACGGTATCTCTCGAGCGATCCGACAGTTTTTCACCCGCTGTTGTTCGCCGCTACGGAGGGCGACGTGTACCTTATCCGAAAACTGCTCAAACTAGACGCGGGGGACGTCGTCGTCCCCCCGGAGAAACTAGCGAAAGGGCCCGGAGAGGAGAGAGACCCAACGGACGGCGCCCACGTGGCGGACAGCGATTCGCACAGCCCAACCAGCACACTACAGACCGCCGACTCACCGAGCACGCACAGAACACCGTTCCCCCCCACCGCACAGGCCCCACTGACCCCACAGGACTGCCCCCCCGTAGAGATAGAAGCCCGAGACAGCGACGGAAACACGGCCCTCATTCTTTGCGCCCAGCGAGGCCATCTCGGAGCGTTCGAAGTGCTCCTCCGCGCGGGGGCGTCCCTGGGGGCCTTGAACGCGCATGGGGACACGGCGCTGACGTCAGCGGAGCGGAACGGGTCGCTGGCGGAGGCGGCTGACGTTATCCTGGAGGCCCTGCGCGATGGTGCGGTCGCGGTGACGTCGTCGTCCCCCGGGTTCTTCCCGCTGCACTTCGCGTCGACGTGGCAGGACGAGCGCGCGATGGCGGCGGTTTTGAAGGCGAGCCCGGCCCACGTGGACGAGCTGGACAATGAGGGGCTGACACCTGTCATGATCTGCGCGCAACAGGGATTTGTCGAGGGGGTTAGGCTGCTTTTGGAGGCGGGAGCGCACGCAGAGAAGCGGGGGCCACGTGGCCTGACTGCGCTGCAATTGGCGCGAGAACAGGGGCCCAAAGTGAGCGCAGCGGTGGAGAAGGCGCTGTTCGATCACCTGGCGAGGAAGCTGGTGTTGACGGGCGCACCAGTGTTGAAGCACACACGGGAGGGGCGCGGAAAGCCGCACGAAAAGGTGAGCGGACCGCGGGCATGAGGGCTCTTGTTCGCTTTTTAGAAACGCTGACTGTGTCTTTGCAATCTGGCTGGCGTCGAGATTGGTGTCCTGGGACGCTGATTGGCTCTTTGGAAAGGACGGTCAGTTTTTAGTACAATGAAAGCAAGAGTGCTTAAAGCAACCACGAAAGTTGCAAGACTTCCGTCGGAATTGGGGGAGGGTGTAGGTTTATTCTGCGGATTCACAACAATGATTCGTTCTTGGTTTTTGGGCAATAATGAGGGACTTCTCTTGCCATTCGGGTCGAAGGACTGTGTTTTGGTTCACAATTGCACAAGGACTGGCCCGCATGCTGGAAACCGCTGCGGATTTGCGAGCAGGACATTGCTGATCATGCGGTTCCGGAGGGCTCGGTTTATTCAGCGTCAGGATCATATGAAGAGGAAGGTGTAGCCTGTTATCGGCATCTTTTAAAGGGTTGCGCCCCTCCTTTTCCTAGGTGCCGTGCATGAGAAATGGCGTCTTTTACTGGGGCGAGAAGGGTGGCCGGAAACTGGGCGATGTTGTGGCTGAACTGGGCGGTGGGCCAGTTCTCAGGAAGAACCGGCCCAAGGAGTCTAGCGGGCTTTTGGCGAGAACGTTCAGTGTGGAGGCCCGTGCGGGGCGCACCGTGTACTTCACGGCAAGCTCACAAGATGAGGCGGAGATGTGGGTGCATGGTATCAATATGGTGGCCCAAGAGGCGGCGCAAGGAGGCAAGAGTGGTTGATATGGTCTTCGCTAAGATCTTTTGCACATATAGAAGTTAAAGATACTCTTCCAATGGCGAGGAAGTGGAGTTTGTACAGCGATTGTGGAAGCACCGAGGTCAGGACAGTGAGAATCCTCTCGAGCCAAAATTTGCACATGTGCCTGGCATGCCATGATGGCCTTATAAGCGGAGCCTATGAGCTTCATGGTCCCCGACGATCATGCTTGTTGGGCAGCGGGCGGAGTCCGTCGTGCAGAATGCAAGGGCCGGCGGGCGAGACATGTCATGGCTAGAACCCCTTGTGCTGCAATTTACGTTTTGAAAGTTGCTGCTGGTCGTAATTGCACGGGCTATCTGTAGTATCGCCACTGGCACAACGAAGAGCTGGCGGCCCTCCCTACGTTGGAGATTGTTGCAACAGTGGGCCGGCTTGAATGAATGAATGAATGGCGTGCGCGCACCGGCTAGACTGTGGCCAGCACTCTTATAACGTTCGATCTAAATAGGGCATGCGTATAATATCACACTTTGCACGAGCTAGAAGCATACGAAAATCCATGGTGGCACTGGCTTGAAGACGCGACGGCAGACCTGGACCGTCCGCGGTCGGACGCTCACGCAAGTGTCCAAGTCAAAGCCGCCGCTGCTCAGTGTGGTGTGATGAACCTGATATGACGGCAGAGACGTGTATGGACGGTACTGCCTTCTTGTACTCGATACTTGCGGTGGATGTTACGTGACTAGCTACTCAGAATGATGCGCATGTAAGCATTGCCATAACGTTAGAGCATTGGTCACTGTCTTCGTTTTGTCCGAGAAAGCGCCTGTGTAGCCTGACTGCATGAATCTATTCTGAAGTGTTTTAGTCCAACGCTTAATTTGGCACCCCTCCAGATAACGTGAGTCCGCAATGGGATTGTTTATCGGAATTCGGGGTACCACGCAGGGGTATGGCAGTGGAGGGGTATCATTCATCACGGAGAGTAAAGTTGAACTTGAACCGTTGATCGGAGCTTACTAAGAGCCTGCTTAAATAGTCACGGCGTCGCTATGCCTCAGCAATTATTGCCCGCAATTATGGCATCAGAGACGCGAGGCCGGCCGATATCAAAGGTTTGCCCTAATACTGCGCATTCAGGAACGGTCGAGTCTGGAACTCAGTTCCGCCCATCCGAGGTCCCGGGCTTATTCTTTAGAGGGGTTGTCGTGAGAGCATACCTTATGATCAACATGAGCACCATGGCAGTACAAAGGGACGCGCCTTTGACCGCGGCTGGCCCTAGTACAAGCCATCCGATCGAGTCAGTCTAGCTAGTCGGAGTCAGTCGGACTCGAGTAAGCATACGGCTGTTCGTTCTTGCCGACACTCCCAGATCTTTTTCTGGCCGTCCTTTCAAGCTGCCCCACATTTTGCGAATAGACGCCTTGCAATTGAGCGATAAGCACTGTCAGCGGAAGCGGGCAGCACTAGAATTGATCAGAGACGTCTGACTGCTACAGAGGTGACTCGCAGGGAATGAGGGGATGTTCCTGCAGCTTGCAGGATTGCAGAAAACAATCTCATCTGATCTTTCTTTCAAACATGGACACTGATGTGGCAGCAATGAGGTGCAGCTCAGCATTGATGCGATTCCCCGTGAGCCGAAATGGTACTTCGACTTACATTCGTAACATGGCTGCTGTATATCGAGGTGCGCGCAGCCCGAGGTTTCCATATCTTGGCTTGGACTGCAATCGTTCTTCGATGAAAACTGCAATTGGGAACACTAAAATTTCTCACTGCAATCACGACAGTTTACATCAAACTCGCTTTCCGGGCGATCAGTCCGTGGAGTTCGTCGACCTTATCAAGGCGTTTGGCATCCTATTCTACCAACTCGTTGCTCCACGGTACACGAAAGTGATGGAACGTCATGAGCGGGTGGACATTAAGGAGTCTGCTCTTAAAGAGCAGATTAGGAGCTTCGTTCACAACCTGCCGGGCTCGACAATCCAGTCTTTGAGGGCTGCACGGGTGCCGTAATCTACTCGAGCTCACGTGAGGCTTTTGACAAGCCAACGCTTTGTGCATGTTATAGTATGCAAGTATCTGACCACTGAACCAGTAATCACGCCTTTGCCTGGGGTATACAGAGTGCTAACATACTGAACACGGTCCCAACACGGTTCCATTTTGTAGGCTGTAGAAGATCTGTATTTGAGAAGCTGTTGTAATAAACGTAGTGGAATTGTATTGAATGTTGTAGAGCATTTGCCATCCCGCTCGATTCACTCTAACTGCTCGGTTGCCTGTCAGATAACTGTTTCGATCGGAATCTAGATAGGATATATGCTTGTCTGCAACATAAGACTAGTAATTATCAGAGTGATTGGCTGCGATCTTCGAACCGATCTACCGGCCTTCTAGCTAGATTTTGGTAACTTGATTTGGTGCAGTTCTCACCGCTGCCCGGATGCCTGGTTGTTTTTGGCCTAGCTCATCCGAGTCATTAATTGCATCAACGTACTGGAGTTGCAAGCTAGCCCAATCCGATCCTCAACTATACGGTATATGACACAGTGGCAGTCATCATATATATATAATTGCACTCAGACTGAGACGTGATCTGATTGTTTCGCATGGACGGGCACCGGGCCGGCCTAAGTTTTCGTACTAATGCGGCACCGCAGCTGGGCCCTGCCGCCTCAATTCAGCGTACGTGTCTGAAGCCGATCGCCCGCGGCGTGCACCGTGCGCGCTGCGGGCGGTACAGAAAGTGGCACACTTTCTGTTAGTATACCTTCAAACGGCCATGCTCTGAAATCTGACATTCGACACTAGTGCCCAGCACTTAGTTCACATGTCGGGCAATCATGCCGCTCTTGAAACTGCTGAAGACCGGCACGACTGTTAATATTCCCATCGTACATATTTCCAAATAAAATCGTCAGGCAGGCTGGCAGGCGCCCATAAGCAGGATCCGGCGGCAAGCGATTTCAAGTGTTCAAATAAAAGTGCAAACTACAAATATAGTACCCTCCCAGATACTACCGCCGACCGGTTGCCCGCCTAACCCGTAACAGATCTACCCTAGGCTACTATCTTTTGGACTGTCTTTAGGGGTGGTACAAATTAGCTTGCTTGAAGGTTCAATATCATAGCGTCCTGATAATTCAATCTGTATCTACGTTGTACGGTGTACTGATGATTGATACCCGTATTCCTCTGATCGAAGCAATCATAGCTGTACTTGGTACGCTAAGGCCCTATTCAATGAATCCCTGAACGTATGTAACTACGGTGCGAGCACAATAGGACGTGCATGCGTCTCGTCGAGCACTTCGGCAGACCATTGTACATCCTGCAAAACTCAACTGGCTACATACTTTACCAACCGCGCTGCGCAGGGCCTCTCTCAATATAACCACTCGTGCATCTACAGCTGAGTACAGTAGGCACACGACATCGGCTTATCTAATAATAAGTGGCCCACGCACTCGAAATGACAGAAGTGCCAGCACCCCGGCGGGGCATACACCGCATCCCTATCCCCAATCTCCTCGCAACATATCTGACACCGCTGCATCTTCAAAAGTCGCTCCGGAAACCCGCGGCGTGGCTCGCCTTGCTCCTCCTGCCGACCCTCCGCATCCGCAGACTGCGGGCGTTCTAGGCTCTCCGCTTGTTCGTCATTGCTCACCACTTGACGCTCGTTCCGTTGCAATCGTCCAGAGCGGTAGTTCCCGTTTTGTGCTGGAGGGGTTCTCTCCGCCTCGCTCGCGCCCACCGGCAAGCGGTTGGCTTCTGAATGGAGGGGCTTGGTCAACGTAGGGGTGCTACAATTAGAACCGGGGTGCGAACGAGACAGGGGCGAGGTCCTCCGGTGGGGCTTCAGGAACTCGAACTCCGCGGTCGCAGAGATGCCTCCATTCGCTTCTCCCGAGGAGAAGCGCTTTTTGTCGCCCCTCTCGTTGCCGCCGTCCCCCTTCCCCTGGGCCTGTAAGACCTGGAACTTTTGTTGGTCGTGCGCAAACGTAACCCAATCCTGGAGGGTTGCGTGGTCTCTTTGGACCTCCGCTTCGTAGCGGAACTTTTCGCTGCTCGTCGTATTCGTGGACGGAACCGCCGTCGTGAAGTTCCGCTCGTTCCGCTGGCTTTCCGCCGGCGTTCCGCCCGTGTTCTGCGGGACGGCGGCGGCTTCCACGCATGGACCCGCGTCCGCATGAGGTGCCCCGTGGCTCCGTCCGGTGGACTGGAAGTCCCGGCTCGATCCGCTGCTCCCTTTCCGGTCAGTTCCGCTGGACCTGACGGAAAGGGGGCTCGATCTGCCGGAATGTTGACTGGTACCCGGTTGGAGGTTGTGTTGGCTTGAATGCTGCTTCACACCCCCTGCAATCTCTTGGGGCCCCGTTTTGCCCGGAGCGCTCCCGCCCGGCAGGCCCCCGCCCACCGACCCCTTCCGAACAGGGCCTCTCAGGTGCGGGAAACCGTCCGACGCTCCTGATGACGTCACAGCCCGGTCGGACTCAACGTCCGACAACCGCGACGCGATTCCGTCGAGCCAGCTGTAAACCAATCGTTCGAGCGCCGGGGAGCATTCCTCGGCCCCGCTACCGCTCTGGTCGGGAGTTGTCCCGTCGCCAGGTGTCACCTGCGGATTGGCCCCCTCGGGGGCCGATCTGCAGCAACGGCAGTTCGAATTCAGATTCAGGGCACTTGTCTTAGTGAGAGGTGGATGGGCGCTATTGTGGTCATGAGTATGTCAGTTGCAAGGACTTCAGACTGACAAATGAAGAACTGGATGGGATTCGGGGCTTTGGGAATACAGAGTTGTTTCCATGTTACAAAATAAGGTGAAGATCCCAGCGGCTTTAATTGGTAGTAGAGGTTATTTGAATCTGCTGAGCAGTAGCAAAAATCTTCGGTAGGACGTTAATTTTCCAAGAGAAGAGAGAGTGGCAAAGCGCTCTGCCTTTTTCCTGACTGAGACCGAGTGTGAACGAGCTCCCTAAGAGCTGGTGCCAATATGCTCGACCGCACTCGCGTGATTTATGATTCCGTGAAAGAAGCATACGCATTCAAGAGCCGAAGAATGCTGCTTCAACTGGAATTCACGTCCTAAACATTTACTGTACGTTGTGATACCTACGAGACGAGCAGCCTCAGACTCTCACGTAAGGCAGAAAGAAGGCAGTCTAGATGCAAATGACTACGGACTTCATAAGACTCCAACGAAATTACCAGCTCTGCCCAGTTTAAGTGCTCCAATTCGAAATGGTTGCTTGACAGTTTGCACTAGTCCGCTTGGAGCCCTCACCTTTCCCGCTCGTTCTCAGCATCCGCTCTCTGAAACCGCTCCCTGTCTCGCTCCTTCCGCGGTCCCCCGCCCGAGGAGCCCTTCGACTCCTCGCCCTTCTCTTGAAAGCGGCCCACCCCCTCGCCGGCCCGGATTTCCGCTCCCTCCGCCCCACCGGAATGCCGTCCGGTCGCACCCTCGTTCTGGCTCTCCCCCGCGGTGCTGCTGCGCAACAGGCTCCGCGTTCGGGGGGACGGATTCAAGCGGGGGGTCGACGGCGGCCTGAGCGCAACATGTGAGCTGCCCCCCCCGCTGCGGGACAAAACCACCGACACGTTCCCTGGGACCGAAGCTCTCCTTTCTGTCAGGGGGGGCGATTGGGAGGAGTCACCGGTTCCTTTCGGCGAAACGTCGGGGGCGCTTTGCAGGTTTCCGGGGTGGAGGTTGCCCGGGTAAGTCGCGGCCAGCTTGCGCGCCCCCTCTGGCGGCCGCACCTCCGTGCGTGTCCCATAATAAGTTCTAAGGACGCCAATCAGACTGGGCCCAGATCGCGCGTCGCTGGCAGAAGCGAAGGTTTTCACACCCCTCTCTTGCGTGACGGTGTGAAATGGCGCTTCCCGCTGGTTGAAGAGCGGGTAAAGCGCCGGCAGGTCGCCACGTGATGCGTCCATATCGGCGACACCTGCCCACCCCGGATCCCTGCCAGGTGTCAGGTCGTGACTCGCAGCCTGCCCGTTCGAAGTGTGGACGGCTGGGCTAATCAAGGGGGGTTCTTGCAGCGGGGAACTCACCCCCCCCAGCGGCATGAGATCGGGAAATCGGTGGAGGGGCCTCACGAACCGGTCCCGAGCGGGAGAACCGCTCTCGTAGGGGGTAAAGGGCGCGCTCTTGGGGGGGTAGGTTGCCGCCAGGTTAGCCGCTAACCCCGGGGGAACATCCCAAAGGCAGTGCGCCGTGTACGTGCGCGACAGTGGCCTCGAAGACAGGCCTAGGCATTCCGTTCGGTCCTCGGACTCCCGCCGGAGTTCGTCGGACCCAGACACGTGCGGCCCGTGTGCGCCGGATCCATCCGCCATCCGATATTGAGGAGGGTTGAGCTGTCCGTGCGGCGCTCTGGGGGGGTCCCGACAAGAGTCTGAATGGGCCCCCTGCCGTGACTCGTGGTTGAAACACGGGGAAGGTGGCTGCGAGAAGCGGGGCGGTAACGTTTGAAGGGGGGAGGAAGGGCACCCAAACAGGGGGGTGTTCGGGCCGCCTTGCCAGGCCCCCTCGACGAAAGGCATGGCCGTGCCGCCTTGTTCGGTGAACCGCGTGTTGAGATACGCAGAGGGATCCCTCCCCAATCGCGAGTGTCCCAAGGCCTCATGGGAGTGTTGCTTCGAGATTGCGGCGCGTTTAGGACTGGCGTGGCGGGAGTTTGGGGAGTGGACTTCGGCCCTTTGCCTCGGGTGCGGAGTTGGCGGGGGGTAAGTGCTTCCTCCCCACGCATGCGAATTTTCCCGGCTCGGCGGATGGTAGCCATCGGCGTGACACGTGGCGTCATGGCAGCGAAGCGAGTTGGCCTGTAAGAAACAATAAAGTTATGCTTATGAGGGCGCACGCGTGCTTTTTCGAAGCTAAAAAGACCTGCTCCCATTCTTGATAAATGCTTCAACAAAGTGCCAGAAGACACTTGGTAGACGATGGGTTTCGAATGCGTGGGATTGGAGGAGCATAAGCAACAGTCAGTTGCCGCAGAGGGCACTGGGAGTGGATCGATTCCTGCCAGCTTCAAAATGCAAGCTGTCCAGTAAAGTGTATAAGTTACAGGTCGAGCCGCTGAGGAGGTCGACTTGTGCCGGGCGGCCACCTTCAAAGCAACAAATCGTACAGTCTAATTGGGCACCAATCTTTCAAGAAGCCGTTACTCCATCTTCTCTCCCAAAGACCGCTGTGACGTTGCCTAAAGTTCATAGAAATTCGATTGAGATGATTCCAATATTCAGAAAGAGACGCAAAATGTAAGCTAAAGCTTGGAAGACTTGGAATCAGCGGCTCACCTCTTCCGTGCAGCACGCCTGCGCACAGAAAGGGCACGGGGTCTCGCCGCCGCTGTCGTCCCCCCGGCATGACGCCTCGTGGTGAGAGGGGTGCCAGTGCACGTGGGAAGACTGCAAAGATAAAAGCAAATGCTGTCAACAACAGGTTATGAGAGAACAGTTAACGGTTGGGCAAATTTTGGTGTGGAGGGGTTGAGAGACGTTCGCATCTCGGCGGCCACCTATTATCCAATAAAAAGCAATATCTTCATTCCTTCCTTTTTTCCCCCCCTTCCTAGACAAGGAGAACTTCAATCCTGTGCGCCAATTAAGAGCCGACCAATCATCCAGATTGAGAGGAGAAACAATAGCAGCTGAGGAGCACGACTACAACAGACCAAACCTGTCTAGTTGCTTGCAAGAACCTCAACGATCTTGTCGAAATTTGGTCCATGTACCCCGTCGTGATGAGCCTGCATGTCTGCAGCAGATCTCAACTGCAACAGTCCCTCTTTTGCGATGTTACAAATCACAGAGCCGGAAGAAAGAACATGTGTAAGCTTCAAGAAGGCATCCCGGAACCAAGCAGCCGAGGCACCGCTCAAAAGGCACGAGCTCAAAAACTTGTAGCAACACTCGGAGTCTCCGATCTTGTCTCTGTCCCCTACAGGCTTTTGCAAGGTTGTTCCAGAGTACCCGCAGCTAAAACCAATTGCCGGCCTTCGATCATGCTGTGCTTGAGGGGACTTCGTAATTGCCAATAGTCCCCTAAGCCGGCAGCTCTGCCTGCTCAGTCAATGCACACAAAGGTTCCTCCCAGTCACAAAGCAAGAGCTGCGCGATGTCCAAAGCAATCTGGAAGGACGCCCCCAGTAGCGGATGGGAAATGGATCAACGCGATACCTGGGAAGCTCGATCCCACTGGAGCACATTGTTTGGAGAGACACCGGGAGAAGCGTCCTCGTGTTCTCTCAACACGGCCCCGTTTTCTCGACCCTGAGCAAGGGCCATCCGTCGAGGATCGTACTGCCAATCCTGCGGAGTTGAAGACAAGAGCAGTTTCAGCATCAAGACAAGAATCTGCGTATACGCTACTGCTTTATTCGCCTATTTGAAGGGCGGAACAGAAAGAGCTGTAAACATGATTGACCAGACCCTGCAACGACGGCTGACATCACCGTCTAGAAAGGCGGATGGCTCTGCTCTTTGAAAGCTGCAGGTGCCAAAAAAACAATTCGATGAAAGCTTCTCGAAGTGGAGGGAGTCAGAGGGGGGAAGAACGGAGCTCAAACAAGTCTCCGAAAAGCTGTGATTCAGGTGGCAGCCTACAGCCAGGTTCTTTGCTGCGGACAACAAACCAAAGACACTGAGTCCTCTAAAGATACTCGAGATTTCAAAAGCCAAATAGTACAAACCTTGCCCAGCATCAACCGGATTCCAAGCAAAGCTCAACCAGGAGGACCAGAGGACACCCGAGGACAACGAACTACGCCTTTTAGGCACTAAGAAGCAGAGAGTTTATAATGGCAGGACCTTATACATCTTTGTGCGGTTAAGTGTAAGGACAGGCCCGCACCTCATACTGCCCGGCTCGCTTTCCCGTTGCGGCTCGTTCCACCCTGCCCCACTGCTCGCTATCAGTGTCCTGCCTCCAGGCTGGGCTGTCCTGCCCGTTCACACCTCCCTGCCGCCCCTCCTGACCACTACCGTGAACGCCCACCCCATTTGAATGTAGTTCTCGAGACTGGGCCCCCCATTTCAACCGACTGTGGTCCTGCAGCTTCTGTAACGTGGCGGGAGAACACAGCGACTCCGAAAACGTGTCGTGCCCCACGTTCTCGTCGGCCCGCAAGCGCTCGTCAGCCTCCCCCTCCCCACGTCCTTGAGCAGAGGGTCTTCTTTGGGCATGGCGGTTGGGACCCCCCCACAAGGCGCCTGATCCCCCTTCTCTGTGCAGATCTTTCTCCTGGAGAGGCGCTCCTTCTCTTCCCCACACTCTGCCCCCTATACTCGCATCTCCTCTGCTTCCCCCCCAGACCTTGCTGTTATTTTCCAGGGCGTCAGGCGAGAGAGACTCCCGGAAAGTGGACCCAGTTCCTGTGGGGCTGTTTCTCGCCCGGTGCCTCGCGCGCCTGCTGCGCCTCACTAGGTAGAGAGCCTGGCGCTCCTTGGGACTGAGGTCCAATCGGACGCCTTGCCCTGTAGCTGCGTCCATCACCTCCGATTCCATGCTCTGAGCTTTTGCAGACGCTTCCTGGAGACTTGAGCTGCGACGACCATGCTTCTGCAACCGATAAAACAAGAGACGGTTGGCACTGGCTACTTATCTGCAACTTTGGCACTTTGCTCGTCATAGCTGAAATGCACCTGGCCCCATGGCAGATTCCGTTCCAACCATCCTTCTGCATCAAGCAACAAACATTTGTTACAAGATCTGTCGAAGAGTGGATTGTAGCATGTTTGACAGCGGCTGGCCACCTACAAAAATCGATCAAGGCAGCCAGTCTTCTGCGTCAACAATAGGAGAGTCGATGTTGAGATGACGTTTGAGAGCTGACTATGTCAATGTAACAGCAGATGTATGCCTCGGCACTTCATTCCCTAAATTGGGCCGGTACGTCCAGTACTGTCTTCTGTGCCTGCTTCTTTGTTGAAAGGATGAGACTCCTTCTTTGGAAAAATTGGGACCGGTAAGAGCAGCAACCTAGAAGCTCAATAAGAGCAACAATACATATGTTGATATCCTTGAGGTCCACATGCCCTCTGTTCCATTCATTGCTTGTAATTTGTCAAGTAAACTGCTATCCTAGGCGAAACTCTTGGGGGCTGACTTCACATAGTAACTGATTTTCCACATATTCGCGTTGTACTTACTGATGTCAATATGTCCCCGGCTTGGATAGTGTCCTACAAGCTCCTACTGCTGTGTTTTAACTTAGCCACTACTTGTAACATAGGTTGCCATTTCCAAGATTTTCAACTAACAATTCCAACTAGCGGTGTGACGCAGAGAAGCAGCTGCCTAAATGCATTTCACCAAAAAAATGAATGCTCAGAGAAATCACCACTTCTTAGCTAAGCATCTGCCACTGCAAACGAGTCAGGTGCACGATGGTCCTCATACAAAGTTGACGTACAGAGTCTTAAAATATATAATCAAGGACTAGACAAACATCACAGCAGACAAAAGCACAACAGCATGAGTGTGAATGAGCCAATGCTTCTGTTCTACAATGGCATCCACCTTGTGATTAACGGTCTGCACATCCAGTTGTGTATCGCGGTTTTGTTTTGTTTGACATCTTTTGCGACCAAAAGATGAAGACATACGTTATAAGCTGGTTTCTAACAAATCTCCTGCTCCACTGGACCACTGGGATTGGGCATCACACATACCATTGAAAAGCTCGTTCGACATCAAGAGCTGACCGGACCGCACTGAACCCCTTCTCAGCACCGAAACCAACCCCTCCATTCAAGAGGGGGGAAGCAGCAAAAAGAGGGGGACGCTTACCTTTGAACGAGCAGGCTCCTGTTAAAGCAAGAGGATTCCTAGACCAGAGATGCCCACACAGGCTGCCCCGCCTCTGTTACTGTGTTAGCACAAAGCTGCTGAGCCCTCTTTGCTTCAAACTTTTACGGTACCACAAAACCAGCTGCGTTGCGTCCCAGCGGCGAGCGCGATGCTGCGCAAGTCTTCCTCCTTGTTCCAACGTCCTGGGGGCCATGGGGCGAGTCTGGGCCCTGACTTGCACAATCACAAAATCTTGCGTGTCGCGTGAGGTGGTGGCTCGACACGCTGGGGTCGCAACTAGGCGCCCATTCACGCAGACGGGCGGACCGTTACAAAAATTTCCGGTTTGACATTGGCTTAGGCATATTTTTGGGTTTGACTAGTGTCGTAACGAGAATTTTACAGGCTGTTATACATTGACAACATGATGGGAATGCGCTCTCTCGTCCAAAAAGATCAAAAAGGACCGGAAAAGGTACACGTGCAAAACGTTACTTTCCCGCTTTGGGTTGCCAACGTGGCATCCGCCCGGCAAAAACGGTTACGATTAAATTCTGTGAAAGCGGCCCTGCCAGAACGAACTTGAAGTTGAAGCGACGCGACACTTCTGGTCGAGTCGGAGGGGCGTTCCGTTCCGGGGAACGCTGGACGCTACAGCTCTACCGACAGACGTCGGTGACGATCCGTCAACGAAAGAACCGTCGATCGTGGAACTTGGAGGAAGATCGACGTACGAGATTACATCGACCACTGACTCGGCCTTGGTGGCCGGTGGGAAATTGACTTGACCGCGTACGGCACTCTTTGAAATAGGTGACCGAAATTAGGACGCAAGTTACGGGAGATATTCAAGACTCAAGTTGCTGTGAAAACGGAAGACCTGCGCCGCAAAGCGCCTAAATACCCGGGTCCTACAGCAACCGTCGGAATCTT